ATTTTAATAAATATTACAAATTGTCCTTCCTAGAGGCTGTATTTATATTTCCATCACTATCATATGAAAGCAGACAATCAAGCTTACAAATTTATTTTTTTAAATACATGTTTATTTATTTCAGAGAAGAAGGAAGAGGGAGAGAGAGAGAGATACCGTGTTTCCCGAAAATAATACATCCTCCGAAAATAAGACCTACTTACAGGTTTCCTTCTGAGTGAAATATAAGGCATCCCACCCTCCCCCGAAAATAAGGCCCCGCTAGGCTAAACATGAGAGATTTGGTCCACTGATTCTGAAAGAAATGGAGTCACAAGAAATTCACCAGGAAATTCAGTAATTGGATTGTTATGATGATGTTCCAGAAGATGATGACATGATTGTCACTGAATAAATGAGTAAATTCTTGATACTGTAGGATTCACACTTTGTCTGGTTTGTGTTGACAACTACCATACTACTGTACTGTATACAGGTAATAAATTTCCTTTATTTTCGTTTAACAATAAATGTGTACCGTATTCTTCTTCATGGAAAAATAAGACATCCCCTGAAAATAAGACCTAGTGCATCTTTGGGAGCAAAAATTAATATAAGACACTGTCTTATTTTCGGGGAAACAGGGTAGAAGCATCAATGATGAGAGAGATTTATTGATTGGCTGCCTCCTGCACGCCCCCTACTGGGGATCGAGCCGAAACCTGGGCATGTGCCCTTGACCAGAATCCTACCCCAAACCCTTCAGTCCGCAGGCCAACACTATACCCATGGAGCCAAACCGATGAGGGCCCAAGCTTTCAAATTTAAGTCAAATTTCTGTTTTATCAATAGCACATTTAGAAGATTTTAAATGTTCAATTGCATTAGTTTACTAGAATAGGCAGTCAATTTTTTTTTCTTCTTCTTAATCCTTGATCAAGAAAAATAGGGCATTTAATCCTGCCCCTGAGTAGGCATGGTGATGAATTCAAACTGGATTAATTTTCTAAATTTGTGATTACATTCTTTTTCCACAAAGGCCTTAAGCATAATAATGAGTCACTTTCCCTTTTGGCTCCTCAAGGCTGTCAGTTTAAATTATGTTTCTAGGTGAGCTCCCTCCTGGGAGCACACCCCTGCCTTTCCCTTTTCCCTTCCTCCCCCAACTTTCCCCACCCTCCCTGCCCCAGGCACTTAAAAGAAAAAAAGAAAAAAGAAATAAATTGTGTTTCTAGTTCCTGAACTTCTAAAGTATTTTGTTTTTTTCTCCACATTTTGAGATGTAAACAAAGGATTTCTGCTATACATAGGCTGGTTCTCTCAAAAATGAATATTTGTACTCCAATTACAAATAAAAGTAATAGTTAAGAGCTATCATTCAATGTTTAAAAAAAAAAAAAGTGTGTACCCTGAGCACAGTAGGAATCTCAAACTTTGGAACGAATCGACTCACTCAGGGTGCATATTAAAATTTCAGATTTCTGGGCTTGCCCTGGGACTTCTGGTTCAGTAGATCTGACAGGTATGGCCAAGATACTTGCATATAAAGGCCCCTTGTGAATCAATGTGATGCAATGATTTAGGAACCAAACTTTCAGAAATATTATATTGTGTGGTTCAGTTGGTTGGGCATCGTCCTGGTTCAATTCCTAGCTTGTATTATCAATCCCTGGTAGGGGCGTGCAGGAGTCTTGAGAGTGTTCCTCTCACATTGATGTTTCTCTTTTTTTCCCTCTCCCTTCCTCTCTCTCTCTAAAAAAAGAGGGAAATATAATATTAAATTATTGCTGGTTGGCTATATTTTTATGCAGACATTTAAAAATTGTTTTAAAAAATTTAACATGTTCTTTTTAATCCTCATTCGAGGAGTGAAGACATTTTTTCCATCGATTTTTAGAGAGTAGAAGGGAGGGGGGAGAAGGAGAGAGAGAGAGAGAGAGAGAGAGAGAGAGAGAGAGAGAGAGAGAGAGAGAAACATGGATATGAGACACATCGATTGGTTGCCTCCTGCACACATTCCAATCGGGCAGGGATAGAGTCTGCAACCAAAGCACGTACCCTGACCAGAATCAAACCCAAGACCCTTCAGTTCATGGGCCAACACTCTAACCTAGGGGTGTCGAACTCAATCAGAGAAGAGGCCAAAATCTAAAATCCAGCCTAAATCGCGGGCCGAATGGTTTACTGAACAGTCATAAACTGTCATTGTGATGGAAACGCAGCAGAGTGCAGTGATGACAGCGCGGTGCAGGCCACATTGCAAGGCCTGGCGGGACTGATTTGGCCCGCGGGTTTTGTGTTTGACACATGTGCTCTAACCACTTCAGTCCATGGGCCGACGCTCTATCATTATTAGATAGCTAAACAGGCCAGTGCTATTTGCCCTTTATTGACTTTTGATGTTGGTGTATTTCTTCTCATTTTACTGTGAAGAAATGGTGAAGCTTAAGTATTTTTCTGAAAGATCTCAATTTTCACAGTGGCAGAGTCAGTATTTGACTTATCTCTCTGACTTCAAAGATGGGTTCCTTACATTAACATTAGTAATTTGGGTTACAGATGGATACTTTATTTTATTGAATGAATAACTATAGGAATCCTTTAAGTAGTGCACTTCCATTGGACTCTTTCCATATCTATATATATATATTTTTATTGATTTCAGAGATGAAGGAAGAGGGAGAGACAGAAATATCAATGACGAAAAAGAATCATTGATAGACTGCCTCATGTATGCCCCACACAGGGGGTTTGAGCCCACAACCTGAGCATGTGCCCTGTCCAGGAATCCAACTGTGATCTTCTGGTTCATAGATCAATGCTCTACCACTGGGCTACACCAGCTGGGTTCCATTGGACTCTTTATATTGAATTTTCTTGTAATGTTCAAGAGTAGCTCTACCATGAAAACTATACCACCATACTGCTTTAGGCAGAGTAGAGCTCATTAAATGTTGATAGATAAATGTAGCTTAAATAGATTAGTTTTGGAGTTACACATGACTACATTAAAGTTCTCTACTCTTTAAGCTTCACATGCTTATTTGTAAATCTGGGAAAAGTGCTTTTTCACCTTAAACCACTGTTAGGAGTAAAGGAGATAATGTATATAAGGCATCTAGCACTCAATAAAAAGTAGTTTATTATAAAGAACAATGTTACAATCCTGAAATGCTACATTTAGGGTAAAAACTGGGATTCTAGATAGATACTGGGTGGACAGAGAATTATTAGATAGGAAGATTCATTAGGACCACTCAGGGCAAGTAGGAGAAAGTAGTCATTTAGAGGCATAAGGTTATATAGACTGGATATTTGCTGTGTGATATTTGATATGTGGTTAAAGACAAGAATACAGAAGTTAGAAAGGAGTATTGGATTGCGAGTGTATGTCTTTTACTTCTGAAGATGTTCTGAGGAGAAAAAAGAAATAAAATATTTGAAAGGCAAAGAAGATAGAAATTGTGTATTAGTTGAACAACTACATGAAAAGATAGATGCAGGAGGCAGCTGATGGATGATTCTCGCATCATTGATGTTTCAATCTCTCCCTTTCCTTTCCTCTGTAAATATGAGGGGGAGCAACAAATTAATAGTTGAGAATTGATTTTCATTAAGGATTTACAGCCAAGACCCCACCCTTGAACAGGTGGGGACTAAAAGAATGCAGATCCTTGGGAGATAACCTAAATCTACTGAATCACAATGTCTAAGGGAAGGGCAGGAACCAGAAACCAGCAGTTTAATCTCGAATGTCTTCAGGCTATTGTTATGTACAGTTAAAACTGGAGAATCTGGGCCTCACCCCTTTTCTTTCTTTTTAAACATTTTTATTGATTTCAAAGAGGGAGGGAGAGGAGAGAGACCGAAACATCAATGATGAGAGGGAATCATTGACCAGCTTCCTCCTGCATATTCCCCACCGGGGGATGGAGCCCACAACCCAGGCTTGTGACCTTCACCTTAATGTGAACCCAACTCAGGACCCTTGGGTTTGCAGGCCTATGCTCTATCCACTGAGCAAAACCAACTAGGGCAACCTTTTTCTTATTTCACTTTTACCTGAAGTAGGTAGGTACCCTTATCACCCTTATTTTACGGAGGAGGAAACTGAGACAACAGGGTGATGAACTTGCTAAAGCTTAAAGAGTAGAGAACTTTAATGTAGTCACGTGTGACTCCAAAACTAATCTATTTAAGCTACATTTATCAACATTTAATGAGCTCTCCTCTGCCTCAAACAGTATGGTGGTAGAGTTTTCATGGTAGATCTACTCTTGAACATTCCAAGAAAATTCCATGTCTTTGGGTTGATCTAACCAAAGGACTTGTGTACATGCATATAAGTACAACCAATGGACATAAAACTCTGGGGAGGGAGGGTATGTATGGGAGGGAGGGAGGGGGGCAAAAAAATCAATACAATATATTAAAATAAATAAATAAATAAATAAATAAATAAATAGATAAATAAATAAAAAGAAAATTCCATGTCTTAAACATTGCAGTGCGGTTACCTCCTCTTGCTAAATGATGATTTCATGCTAAATACTTCAGCAAGCATTGCACTCTGAGTTCGGAAGCAACCAGAAGGCTCCTTCTACTTAGTCCGGTGAACTGGGAGATGCATTACCATTTTAAGCCCTTCCCCGGTTAAATTGAGGCCTGAACACCTCTGGCCCCCGGGTGTGACCGGTCCCCGGGTGTGACCTGCCCCCGCAGGGCAGGGGTGGGCGGGGCGGAGGCGGGCGGCGCTCGATGACCTCGGCGCGCCGCCGCCGCCGTCTGTTGGACCTGCTCGTGGCTCGCCTGCCCGGCCTGCCCACTCCCGCGCGTTCCCGGCCCGCCCCCGCCGCCATCTTGGCCTCGGAAGGAGCGGGCTGCACGCGTGAGTAAACAGCCCACATCGGGGAGGAGCGGAGGCTCGGCCGCGTCCGTGCGGTGCGGGAAGCGGCGGAGAGGACGCACTTCTGACCTTCGTACGTGGGGGTACGTGTCGGGGTCGCGCTGCCCAGCCGCAGGCAGGAGCCCTCCGCCGGGCGCCCCCTCCGCCCCCTCGCGGTGAGACGCCTCCACTCCCGGCGTCTCCCGCCCCACGCCGGTCTCCTCCCCCTGTTGAAAGCTGCCCGGGAAAGTGGTGGCGGGAGCGGGCCGGCGCCGTGTGGGCCTGGGTGCGAGTGGCGGGGCGCCGCCGGAGGAGGAGGCTGGGGTGGAGGGTTCGTGCTCCCGGGGCTCAGGGCGCGGACGTGGTCCGAGGGCCCGGGAGGCCCCGGCAAGCGGGCGGGCGCGCGGGGCCGGGGCCTGGGACCCCGCCGGGGCGGCGCGGGGTCGTTTCCGTCGGTCACTGGCTGTTCTCCTCTTCCGGCCGGTGCCGCAGGGTGGCCGACATGACCGCCCCGGGCCAGAGCCCCCTGGCGCCGCTCCTGGAGACTTTGGAAGACGCTGCCGCCTCCTGTGGGGAGCAGACGGACGCTTACCTGTCCCTGACCAGGTGAGGCCGCCGGGGGCGGGACGGGGCGTGCAGGGGGGTTTGTGGGGGGAGCGGGGTCGGGGTGGGGGTACGCTAGACCAGCGTGTGCGGTAGAAGCCGGCGGCGGGGGAGGACGCCGGCCGGGGTCGCCCGGGGCGGGGGGCGGGGGGCGGGGGGCGGGGTGGGTGCGGGAGGAGCTGCCGCCGCATCGCCCTAAGGTGCACGCTCAGGTGTGCGTCCGGAATGAGGAAGTCCGCGCCTGCGCCTGGCAGTCGGAGAGTTTTAGGTATTTAAAAATTTGGTTGGAAGTGGGCTTGCTGGCTGCAGGAATGGTTTTCCATGGAAGTCGCGCAGGTCCTGGGACAGTGTGGGCAACTCAGAATTTTTTTTTTTTTAATTGAGTTTTGTTTTAATTGCAAATAGTAGTATTTCCCTCCCGCAAACCATTGAGTTTTCTGCAGTTGGGACATTGCGAGAGAGAGGATAGCAACTGGTATAAAATGATCAAGATTGTGCATTTGCGACTAGGGAGAGGTCTCTCTGTTCCCTGTTCACAAAGAGAAACTATTGAAACTTGTACAGTGGATGCAAAAGTAATTCTGAAGGTTGTTATTGTTATTATTTTTTTTGCATCAGATATATATTGCATTCTATTCTTGAGTACCTTACCACTACATCAAGCTAATTTGCCAGGATTAAACTTTAGGGAGTGATTATACTTTTGTGTCTATTTGCATAAATTTTTTATTTTTGCTTTGAAGTCGTATTACTGGAGAAGATGGAAAAGAAGTCATTATAGAAATCGAGAAAAAACTTCCTCGGTTATGTGAAGTTTTAAAGGTATGTGTCTGTTTATTAATTTTCAAAAATATATATTTTATTGATTTTACACAGAGAAGAATTGAGAGGGATAGAGAACTAGAAACATCGATGAGAGAGAAACATCTACCAGCTGCCTCCTGCACACCTCCCACTGGGGTTTGTGCCTGCAACCGAGGTACATGCCCTTGACCGGAATTGAACCCAGGACCTTTCAGTCTGCAGGCCGATGCTCTACCACTGAGCCTAACCGGTTTCGGCAGTAATTTTTTTTATTTTTTATTTGTGGGGCAAAGTTTTACTAGTTTACTCATAGAAACTTTGAGTTTAAATAAATGAAAGTATATTGTAGTGCCCCGAGTTCCCTTATAGTTTTCTCTCACTTAATCTAACTCAGTGTCCCTGTAAAGTTACTCTTTAGTCCCCATTTTGCAGAACAGATTGCTTTAATTTGTCCAAGGCTATTTGAATCCAAAACCTTTGCTCTTAATTTAAAAGCAATAGTCAGAGATTATTTAATCTGTTTTACCTCCTTTTGTAGGAATGTATTCCTAAGTAATGACTTTCTAATTTTGTTTTTGGTGTATTTATTTATCTTCACACGCCCTTAGTTTTGCTACTCTTTCCTGATTAAAAACAGTTAGGAAGGTTATCTCTATCAAGTGTTTATAGGAAAGTGGGATAGCTTAACCTCAAACTGAAGACCTATGTTCTTGTCCTCACTTGAGTACCCTGTAGCTTTGTAACCTTCCTTAAACCTTAACTTTAATTTTCTTATTTTTAGAATTAAGAGGTTGAACTCAGTCTTTTTTAAATTTTTTTATTTTATTGATTTTTTTACAGAGAAGAGGGGAGAGGAATAGAGAGCTAGAAACATCCATGAGAGAAAAAAATTGATCAGCTGCCTCCTGCACACCTCCTACTGGGGATGTGCCCGCATCCAAGGTACAAGCCCTTGACTGGAATCGAACCCGGGACCCGGTTCTATCCACTGAGCCAAACCGGTTTCAGCTGAATTCAGTCTTTAAAGTCGATATGAGTTTTTATTTTTATCTTGTTTTTGTGCTTTTAAAATATAAGTATTCTATCAAGATATTCATTCTACTTTTTAGCATGATTTTTAGCTAAATGTTGAGCATGTGAGGTTCTGTTTACCTCTTAAGTATCCTGTTCCAGTGATCAGGAGCTTACTTTATTGTGTGGTAGTTCAAGATATTACCGTGTTTCCCCGAAAAATAAGACATCCTCCGAAAATAAGTCCTAGCGCATGGAAAGATAAGACATCCCCTGAAAATAAGACCTAGTGCAACTTTGGGATAAAAAATTAATATAAGACACTGTCTTATTTTCGGGGAAATAGGGTAATAAATGGTATTGTTATACAGTATCAGTGGTATTATTTATTACCCCTTTTTTTTTCCTTCTCATATCGCACATTCCAGTAGTATACTCATGCTCTGCATAATGAGGTTTTAGTCAACAACTTGAACCAACCCAATATACAATGGTGGTCCCATAAGATTGTAATGAGGCTGAAAAATTCCTAGTGACATTTTAGCAAGCATAACACTATAGTTATTCTTGCCCTGGCTGATTTGGCTCAGTGGATAGAGTGTCAACCTGTGGACAGAAGGGTCCCGGGTTGGATTCCAGTCAAGGGAGCACATGCCCGGATTGTGGGCTGGATCCCTGATTCAGGAGGCAGCCCATCAGTGATTCATCACTGATGTTTCTTTCTAAAATCAATTTTTTTAAAAAAGAGTTACTCTTACATCAGTAGATCAACGCAGAGACAAATGGTAGGGGAGAGGGGTTAGAGAGCAACCAAAGATCTTTTATGCATGCATATATTAGCATAACCAGTGGAAACAGACACTGGGGTGGTGGGAGCTTGCCCAGCTGGAAAGGGATGGGGGAGGGGTCAGTTGGGTAAAAAGGAGACATAGGTAAAACTTCATACAATAATAAAAAATAAGTTATTCTCGCCCTATCTGGTTTGGTTCTGTGGATACAGCGACCAGCCTGCGGACTGAAAGGCCCCAGGTTCGATTCTGGTCAAGGGCATGTACCTTGGTTGCAAGCACATCCCCAGTAGGGGATGTGCAGGAGGCAGCGGATCCATGTTTCTCATTGATGTTTCGAACTCTATCCCTCTCCCTTCCTCTCTGTAAAAAATCAATAAAATATATTTTTAACATTTTAAATGTTACTCTTGTAATGTTGGTGTAAATAAACTACTATGCTGCCAGTCCTATAAAAGTATATCACATACAATTATGTGCAGTGCATATAATACTTCATAATGATCTGTGACTTATTGACTTATGTATTTACTATGTTGTATTTATTAATAATTTAATGTGCATTCTTTCTGTTTATAAAGTGCTGTAAAGCAGTATGTTAACCTGGCAACAGATCATCTCACACCACATCTCTCTTTTTTTTTTTAAATATATTTTATTGATTTTACACAGAGAGGAATTGAGAGGGATAGAGAGTTAGAAATGTCAATGAGAGAGATACATTGACCAGCTGCCTCTTGCACACACCCCACTGGGGATGTGCCTGCAACCAAGGTAAGTGCCCTTGACCGGAATCGAACCCGGGACCTTTCAGTCCATAGGCCGACGCTCTATCCACTGAGCCAAACCGGTTTCGCTACATCTCTTGATTGTATCGTTTTTTCTTGTACTGTACTTCGTTTAATCTCATGTTTCATAAAGGCTTGTAGCCTAGGAGCAACAGGTTATGTCATACTAGAAATTCGTGCATAGGAGGGCTGTCACTCGGCCCAGCCTGCACTCTCTCCAATCTGGGAACCCTTGGGGGATGTCTGATTGCCAGTTTAGGCCTGATCCTGGTGGACTGCTGGCTCCCAACTGCTCACTTGCCTGCCTGCCTTGATTGCTCCTAATTGCTGCTTCCTGCAACCCTGATCACCCCCTAGCCACTCCCCTGCCAGCCTGATAAGATGCCTAACTGCTCTGTTGCTGGCCCGATTACCCCTAACTGTCCTCCCCTGCAGGCCTGGTCCCTCCCATCTGCCCTCCCCTGTTGGCATGATCGACCCCAACTTCTCTCCCCTGCAGGCCTGGGTCTCCCCTCAACTACCCTCCCCTGCATGCCTGGTTATCCCTAACCTTCCTCCCCTGCATGTCTGGTCCTCCCCAACTGCCCTCCCCTGCCGACCTGGTTCCTCCTAAAAGTCCTCCACTGCAGGCCTGATTGCCCACAACTGCCCTTCCCTGCCGGCCATCTTGTGTCTACATGGGGGCAGCCTATCTTGTGTCTTGGAGTGGTGGTCAATTTGCATATTACTCTTTTATTAGGATAACCTAGGCGTGTAGTAGATTATACCTTCTAGGTTTGTATGAGTGTGCTCTATGATGTTCGCACAATGACAAAATTTCCTAATGTTGCATTTCTCAGAACATGTCTGATACTAAGTTGCACAAGACTATTTGATGTGTTAAAAACATGCATTTTCATATATTTAGTATTTGACAACATGTAGGGTCAGGAGCTCAATTGCTTGCATTTTGAATCATGCTTGATGCACTGTTTTAGATAGGGTTTGTAACTAAAATACCTGATGTATAATTACTGTTGACTGTTGAACAACTTGGGTTAGAGGTTCAACCCTTTCTTCCTCCTTGTAGTAAAAAATCCACTTGTAATTTTTGACTTCCCAAGAACTCAACTATATAGAAATGTCTGAGTGAGCTCGGTACTGATAGGACAACCAACAGAAGCTTTATGTGTGAATTACTAAGCACTAAAAGGATATTTGAATTCTAGTAGAATAGGAATCATACTAGGTGAAATGTCTTATTTAGAATTCTACCAGTACTGTTTCTATGAACCCACAACATTCTTGAAGGTAAGACACCATTTTTAAGAAACCCTTCCAGGCATTTAAGTTTATTTACAGACACATGCTAGCTGTTATCTAGGAGATACAGTAGCAGCTTGAAGTCTTTTTTCTTTTTTCTTTTTAAATATGTCTGTATTGATTTTTTAGAGAGGAAAAGGAAGAGAGAGACAGAGAGAGAGACAGACATCGATGAAACTGGCCAATGTGGCTCAGTGGTTGAGTGTTGACCTATGAAATGGGAGGTGATGGTTCGATTCCCAATCAGGACACATGCCCAGGTTGCAGGCTCTTGCCCTGATTGAGCTGGCAACCTCACCCCAAGACCCTTTATGTTTGAGTCTGTTCCTTATCCATTATGGAAGGGCTTTATTGTTTATTTTCTGTCTAGTATCTGTAGCATCTTCCATTTGGTTGACTTTTCCTTTGCTTTCAGATATGTGGAAATGTTCTTTATCTTTTAAGAAAAATGTTTTTTTTTTGTTACCTTTTATTTATTGATTTTTGATATAGGAGAGGGGAGAGGGAGAGAGAAACATTGATTTTATTCCACTTAACGTATTCATTGGTTGCTTCTTGTATGTGTCTTGATAGGGATCAAATTCGCAACCTTGGTTTTTTGGAGCAACACTAACCAACTGAACTACCTACCAGGCCATGGCCAAGAAAAATGTTCTTTATTTAGTTAATCTTTATGTAGTTTCCCTCTTTGTAAAGCTATATATATGGATTCCGGGTCTTATTTCATTTACTTCAAAAGATTTGATTGATTGATTTGATTAAAATGTAATTTTGCTTTTAATCAAACTTTGCTTTCTAAAGATTGCTTCACAATTGTATTCATTTGTAACAAGTGTTTTTTAATTTTATTTTTGCTATAGGCTCACATTTCCAGTCAAAACTCAGAGCTTAGTTGTGCTGCTCTACAGGCCTTGGGGTTTTGTTTATATAATCCCAAAATTACCTCAGGACTATCAGGTAGTTAAATTTATCATGCCTTAATATTTTAAGTGTTTATAAATATATACTTTGATGTTGTGAAAAGTACTCTTCTGTTATATATTAATATATGTTCTAAAAATATATCAATATATTTTTAAAAATATATTTTATTGATTTTTTACAGAAAGAAAAAGGGATAGAGAGTTAGAAACATCAATGAGAGAGAATCATCGATCCGCTGCCTCTTGCACACCCACCACTGGGGATGTGCCCACAACCAAAGTACATGCCTGTGACCGGAATCGAACCTGGGACCCTTCAGTCCGCAGGCTGATGCTCTATCCACTGAGCCAAACCGGTTTCAGCTAAAAATATTTTTTTATTTTAGTTTTTTTTTTTGGAGAGGTAAAAACATGTTTGTGAGAAACATTAATTAGTTGCTTCCTATATGCACCCCAACCGAGAATCAAACCCCAAATCTGGGTATATTTATGCCCTTACTGCGATTCAAACCAGTAGCCTTTGGGTGCATGGGACAGTACTCAACCAACTGAGCCACACTGAACAAGGCTGATAACATAATTCAGTCGTTTAGATTATTACAGGAATGCTTTATTTTTTCTTACACATAGCCCTTTGGTAATTGTAAAATTTGCTCTAAAAGAAATAAGCTTATTTATAAATGTTATGAAAGTTTGAACTTTCCCCTTTGGAAACTCTTATCTGCTTTAGAAGTTAGTAATTTAGATGGTCACTTATTTTGTAGAAGCACATACAGTAAGAAATAGTCTGAATTAGAATGTTTTTATATGGTGGTAAGTGGGATGATTTGGAACTAAAAATGGTAATGAAAACAAGACTTAACAGATGCTTTCTGTGTTTTCAACTAATCTAATTGTTGCTCTAAGTTAGCAGTTTGACAAGGAAACCTAGGAAATGATCTTTAGAGAAGGGAAATCAGGAATTAGGAAATAAAGATGTTAGATAGTTGTTAACATCTGTTTTCTGAGGGAGAAGTTTCTGCTCTTTTTAATGTACAGAGTGAGGGAAAAGTAGGTTTATAGTTTGTATAATTATTATTTAAAATAATAATTAATAATACAAGAAGAATCTTTAACATGCTCACAACTGTAAATGTACTTTTGCCTCACCCTGTATAGAAATGGTAGCAATCTAAAGTAGTTCATTTTGAGACAGACGTAGGGTTCGTAACATCTTGCCAAAAATTATCTTGTATGTTCAAACCAACTTATTGATATCTATAAAATTAATTGCACAAAATATCTGATTTAGAGGGAACTATTTTCTCTAAATCTACCATCTTACCTATTTTTGTGTTTTTGGAAAGTAGTTTGATATCAGCGTTGGTTCTTTGGTATTTCTCCTTGGACATGCATTTAATCTTTTTCTCTATTTTTATATTTAGTGTTTTAAAGGATATAAAATATTCCACATAATTAAAGCTATTTGTTTTTCAGAGAAAAATATTCAAGAACTGCTTTCAAAATTGAATGATAATGTTAAGAGTTCAGACAAAAATGTACGTACGAGGGCACTTTGGGTGATATCCAAGCAGACGTTCCCCACTGAAGTTATTGGCAAAGTAGTGAGTATAGTTTTTGTATGTATCTTCTTAAATACATGTCATTTAAAAAAAAAATTCAGGCTTAATTGATTTGTATTTATTTTGTTCCATCTTTTAGGTACCCAGTATAATTGATTCATTAGAAACAGTATTTAATAGAGGAGAGATGCATTCTGCTGTTGTTGATTATGAAGCATTAAATGTCATCATAAGGTATGAATTTGGATGCTCTGCAATAAGGATAGTTTTAGGAAGTTCAGAATTTACTTCAAGAAGACTTTTGGGACTTGAATTAGAGTTAGATATTAAAAGAGGGAAATGTCTTCTAGACAAAAAGTCTCAAGAAAAAAGTAACAGGAAGAACGAAATATGTGTGCTTAAGTTAGTAGGTTTCTTTGTTTAATTTTACTGAGATAGTCTTAAAAGTAAAGTCTTGGTTAGGCTTCTGCTAACACAATTCTGGGTTTAAAAATTATTTCTTGCTTTAGCTGGTTTGGGTCATTAGATAGAGCATCAGCCTGTGGACTGAAGAGTGCTGGGCTGGATTCCAGTTAAGGGTGCATGCTGGTTTGCTGTAGCCGATCAGTGATTCTCTCTTGTCATTGATGTTTCTCTCTTTTTCTCTCCCTCTCCCTCTCTGAAATCAATAAAAAAAAACATTTTTTTTTTTTTTTTTTAAAAAGGAAGAGTTGATGAATTTATAGTAAATGTAAACACATTGAAAAATATATTTCTGGCCTAGCAGGCATGGCTTAATGGTTGAGCATTGACTTATGAAGCAGATAGTCAATGTTCAATTCCCAGTCAGGGCACACGTGCAGGTTGTAGGCTCAATCCCCATTGAGTTGTGTGCAGGAGGCAGCTGAGAAATAATTCTCTCATCATTGATGCTTCTATTTCCCTTCTCCCTCTTCCTTTCTGGAATCAATATAAATATATTTTTTAAAAATTATTTCTGTTAAAGCTTTTGAAAGAGTTAAAAAAAAAAAAGCAGACTCCTAAGTGAGTTATAGTGGGTAATTAGGATGTAAGTAACAGTGCTTAGTAGGAGATGGCAGAAGAAGAAAATCTCTACTTCTCATTCTGCTCTTTGTTGATATACTTTGTCTTACCTTTGCTTTAAAGCTTTCTTTAGTAATTGAGCTATTTGCTCTAATTGAATGTTCTGATGTCCTCCTTAATGCTCATATTATATCACAGTTCTCTGGCCGTCCCATAAGAACACTGAATTTAATTATATTAGGTCTAGTAATAATTAATGTCGTTTTCTAATACTTTTTAAAATCTAATTTATTTAAACAATACAACAAAATTTAATCAACAATATAGTTGCCGTTGTTTTCTACTACTTGTGCCCAACGCTCAGGAAGCATTTTAATCCCTCTGTTGTAAAATTCTTGTGATTTTGATGCAAAAAATTCGGTCAGTGCATTTTTGAGGCATTCTTCATTATTAAATTTTTTTCTAAGAAGAAAGTTTTGCAAAGAATGAAACAAATGGTAATCGGAAGGGGCAATATCAGGAGAATATGCAGATTGAGGGAGAACTTCCCATTCCAACTGGCGCAGTTTTTCAGCAGTGATTCTTTTTTTTTTTTTTAATAAATTTTTATTGTTCATATTATTACAAATGTTCCTTTCCCCCCCCTTCTCACCCCACCCTCTGCCCTTTCCCCACCCCCCATTGTCCTCATCCCTAGGTGCACAGTTTATGTTCAGTCTCTTCCCACATCCCCCTCTCCCCTTTTCCCCAAGAATAAACAGTTCACTCCCCTTCCATACCTCTGATTCTATTATATTCAACAGTTAATATTGTTCCTCAGATTTTTTTTTTTTTTAGTTTCCTTGGTTTTTAGATTCACTTGTTGATAGTTACGTATTTGTTGTTCATAATTTTTATCTTTATTTACTTTCTCTTCTGAAAGAACCCCCTTCAGCAATTCATATAATTCTGGTTTGGTGGTGATGAACTCCTTTAGCTTTTTTTTATTAGTGAAGCTCTTTATCTGACCTTCGAATCTGAGTGATAGCTTTGCTGGATAGATTATCTTTGGCTGTAGGTTTTTGCTATTCATCACCTTGAATATTTCTTGAATATTTCTGTTGAGAAATCAGCTGACAGTCGTATAGGTGCTCCTTTATAGGTAACTACCTTCTTTGCTCTTGCTTCTTTTAATATTCTCTCTTTGTCTTTTGCTCTTGGAATCTTAATTATGATTTGTCTTGGTGTGGTCCTCTTTGGATTCCTTTTGTTTGGAGTTCTGTGCGCTTCCTGAACTTGTAAGTCTAATTCTTTCACCAGGTGGGGAAAGTTTTCTGTCACTATTTCTTTCAGTATGTTTTCGATATCTTGCTCTCTCTCATCTTCTGGGACCCCCATAATTCTGATGTTGGTTCGCTTGAAGTTGTCCCAGAGGTTTCTTACATTATCTTCAACTTTCTGGATTCTCTGGCCTTCTTGCATCTGCGGAGGAATGTCTTCTGGCTCTTTATGTTCCAAATCTTTGACTTGATTCTTGCAATCTTCCATTCTGTTTTTAGGACTCCATAAATTATTTTTTATTTCAGACAATGTATTCTTTATTTCTTGTTGATCCCTTATTATTTCTAGTTGACCCCTTTTCATATCCTCATAGGTCTTGTTTATTTTATCGGCCTTTTCTAGGAGATTCTTGAACAACCTTATAAGTGTGGTTTTGAACTCTATTTTGTCCTCCATTTCTTTCGTTTGTGATCTATTTGGTTTAGGCATTTTCGCAGGCAGCTTTCCTGATGGGGCGGGGTTTCAGGGTGGAGCCTACAGCCTTGGCTTCCGTCAGCCCTGCCCTATGCGACTCCTGAGACTCAGGGTCCTTCAGTACTTGTTGCGAGCGCCTCTGAGAGAAAGGTGCCCACGATTTTCGCCTGCTGCCAAACTATCTATGCTCTCCCCCAATGAGTCCGGTATTGGGGTTCAGTTCAGTTGGTAGTGGGATTGGAGGTGGTGTTCAGAGCAATCTGGAGCCCCTGTCTCCTTCCTGTCAGGGCAATCCCGCGGCACAGCCGGCCGGCCCTTCTCTGCGCGCAGTGTGCGCGCCTCTGGGACCTCCTTTCGCCGCTTCCCCGAAGTCCCGCCTTACAGCCCGGCTCCCTATGGATGAGCCTGGGTCCCCGGGGTCTGGCCTAGAATTGGGGTTCAGAGCAGTTGGAGCTGGGCCTTTCTCTCCTTACCGCTTGGGACCGCCAGCCAGGCACTTGGCCTCCCTCCTCTCCGGCTCTGTCCTCTCCGCGCGCCGCGTGTCTCCGTACCTTGGGCTTTTACAGCTCCTCCGTGCTTCCTTCTGGTTTTCTCCTTCTTGTTGTAGAATTTCCAGTCAGTCGACTTTCCTGTAGTTCTGGGTAATGTCCATTTTATATTTTAGTTGTATTTCGCTGAAACTGCTGTGTGCGGCTGCGGCTAGTTGCCCACCCGAGCAGCCATCTTGGATTCTCCCTCAGCAGTGATTCTTGCAGTATGCGGTCGTGCGTTATCGTGGTGAAGAATTACGCCCTTCCGATTAATCAGCGCGGGTTCTTTTTCTCTTAAAGCTTGGGCTAACCTTTCCAATTGGGCACTATACACTGTACTTGTAATGGTTTGGTTAGATGGTAAAAGTTCATAATGAAGAATTCCTTTAAAATTCCACCAAACACACATCACTTTTTTCGCATGCAAGTCAGGTTTGGGCGTGGGCTGCGGAGCCTCATTTTTGTCCAACCATTGAGGCCGCCTTTTCAAATTAACATACAGCACCCATTTTTCATCTCCAGTAACAATTTGCTCTAAAAACAGCAAACGGTTTTGACGAGAGAGGAGCGAACTGCAAATTGTGACTCTTTGATTATGGTTGTTGTCGGTCAACTCATGGACTTTGCCAAGTGCACGCAATTGATTGGAAATTGTTTTTTGTGAACAATTTAAAGTTGTCGCAAGCTCTTGTTGGGTAATTTGAGGATTTTGCACCAAAAGAGCTTGAAGAGCTTCTTGATCAAAATTGGACACTCGGCCTCGACCACTCTTGTCATCTAACAAAAAATTTCCCTCGCGAAATTTCTCAAACCAACGCTGGCATTTTCTGGCGCTAACTGCATCTTGACCAAGAGCACTACAGATGTTTTTTGCAGCCTCACTTGCTTTTCTTCCTAATTGGAACTCGTAAAGCATGCAGTGCCGAATATGCTCTTCATCCGCCATCTTCTTAGCCCTAGTTTTGCAACAAAAACCAAACCAAACACAAACTTTTTCAAGCAAAACTTGTTAATTGCACTTCACACGTTCTGTAGATACCAAATGTTTGAAGGTTATGTCAATACAAGTCAATGCCAAGCAAGATTTTAAACGAATGTTTAAAAACGACATTACTTATTACTAGACCCAATATAAAAACTAGAGGCTTGGTGCATGAAATTCATGCAGAGAATTGGGAAGCCTTTCAACCCAGCCTGGACCCCCTCTCCAATCCAGGATCCCTCTCACAATCCTAATTGTTCACCTGCCTGCCTGCTTTGCCGGCTTGATTGCCCCTAACTGCCCCCCCTCCTGCCAGCCTGGTTGCCTCCAACTCTACCCACTTCTCCCTCCTTGCTGGCCTGATCTCCTCCACCTACCCCCCTGCTGGCCTGGTTGCCCCTCACTGCCCCCTCTGCCAGCCTGGTCATCCCTCATTGCTCCCCCCTGCCGGCCTGGTCGCCACGCAGCCAGCTGGTCAGTCATTTGGTTGTCCCTCGCTAACCCCCCTGCCAGTCTGGTTGTCCCATGCAGCCTGTTGTTTGGTTGTTACTGTGAGGGCGTAGTGACCATTTTGCATATTACCCTTTTATTAGCATAGACTAGAGCACATGTGTCAAACACAAGGCCCGCGGGCCAAATCCATCCCGCCAGGCCTTGCAATATGGCCCGCACCACGCTGTCATCACTGCACTCCGCTGCGTTTCCATCACAATGACAGTTTATGACTGTTCAGTAAACCATTCGGCCCGCGATTTAGGCTGGATTTTAGATTTTGGCCCCTTCTCTGATTGAGTTCAACACCCCTAGACTAGAGGCTCTGAGCAAGAAATTTTTGCACAGGGGCAGGGGAGTCCCCTCAGCCCAGCCTAGACCCTCTCTACTCTGGGACCCCTTGGGGGATGTCCGACTGCCGGTTTCAGCCCGATCCCTAGGATCGGCCATTCCTCTCACAATCCAGGGCCACTGGCTCTTAACGGCTCACCTGGCTGCCTGCTTGATCACCACTAACTGTCCTCCCCTCCCCCCTGCCAGCCTGGTCTCCTCCAACTGCCCCACTCCTGCTGGCCTATTTTCCCCTCACTGCCCCCCTCTGCCAGCATGGTCGCCCCTCACTATTCCCCCTGCCAGCCTGTTTGTCCCACCCAGCCTGCTGGTCGGTTGTTTGGTCATCCCTTGCTAATCCTCCTGCCAGCCTGGTCGCCCCATGCAGCCTGCTCTTCGGTTGTTACTATGAGGGCATCATGATCAATTCGTATATTACCCTTTTATTAGTATAGATAATTAGTATTTTAAAAAACTTTAAAGACAAAATACCTTTTTATTTAAAAAATGTATAAGAATAATACAGAAGTAGAATTAGCCAGGAAAATTATTTTTTTGTGTGTGTGACTAGATGTACATATTTTAAAATAAATGTTCCGTACCATTCATATTTCTCTGTGTGCTGCTTATTTTCCTGGTAGTTTCGACATAAAAGGTGAGGTCAAACTTACCTATTTATTGATTTCTCTCTTATAGGCTAATTGAACAAGCCCCAATTCAAATGGGAGAAGAGTCAGTTAGGTGGGCAAAACTGGTCATACCTTTAGTTGTTCATTCGGCCCAAAAGGTACATTTGCGGGGAGCGACTGCTCTAGAGATGGGAATGCCATTGTTGCTTCAGAAACAACAAGAAATAGCATCTATCACAGAGCAGCTTATGACTACTGTAAGTATTACTTTTTATAAGGATTTTTTGAATACTGTGCTGTAAGGTTCTTTACCATGCTTAGGGCTCATCCTATCTAATAATAGAGTAATATGCAATTTACCATCACTCCGCAGCAGAATGGCAGCCCCCATAGCCACAAGATGGCGGTGCCTAGTTCCCTCAGCCCTGCTGCTGGAGTGTCTGGCCTGTCCACTGAAGCAGTGAGGCTGGATCCACTGCCTGAGGGGGCGGATCCAGCCTCTCTGCTCCACCGCTGCTGCAGTACCTGGGCCTGTCAGCCCCATTGGGGTTCGTGGGGATCAAGTTGGATCTGCCCCCAGACACGGCATATAGAGCCCTGACAGCAGGGCTTGGGGCTTCCTTAGCACAGTGGCAGCGGGGAAGCCCCAGGCCAGGCCCAGCAGACAGAGCCCAGACAGCAGAGCCTGGGGGATTCGTTTCCCAGGGTGATGGTGGTGAAGCCCCCGGCCCGGCAAACAGAGCCTGGACAGCAGGCTTGGGGGCTTCCTTAGAGCAGAGTAGGTGGGAACACCCCCAGGCCCAGCAGACAGAGCCCAGAAAAGCAGGGCTTGAGAGCTTCCTTAGTGCGGCAGCAGCGGGGAAGACACACTTCCCTTAGTGCGGTGGCAGGGGGGGAAACACAGGCCCCGCAGACAGAGCCTGGACAGCAGGGCTTTGGGGCTTCCTTAGCACGGTGGCAGTGGGAGCACCCCCAGGTCCACAGATAGAGCCCAGATAGCAGAGCATGGGGGCTTCATTAGCGTGGTGGTGGGAGCACCCCCAGGCCTGGCAGTCAGAGCCTGGGCAGCAGGTCTTGGGAGCTTCCTTAGTACAGAGAGCAGGAACATCCCCAGGTCCAGCAGTCAGATCCCAGAAAGCAGGGCTTAGGAGCTTCCTTAGTGCAGGGTGATGGCGGGGGAAACCCCAGGCCCAGCAGACAGCCCAGACAGCAGGGCTTGGGGGCTTCCTTAGGGCAGACGTGGCAGGAGCACCCCCAGGCCCAGCAGACAGAGCCCAGACAACAGGGCATGGGTACTTCCTTAGTGTGTTGGTGTTGGCGAAGTCCCCAGGCCTGGCAGATAGAGCACACTGCTGTACATTGGGGCTTCCTTGGCATGGCACATGGTGGTGGCAGGCAGAGAGCGGACAGCGGGGCATGGGGGCTTCATCTCCATTGCTGCAGTGAAACCCCCAGACCCCGCAGAGAGCAGAGAACCACGAAGAGTGGGCCTAAGCCAACAGTAGGACATTCCCTGAGAGCTGGATTGTAGAGAGTTCAAGTTGGGCTTAGGGAGCCCTATGCTCGAATTTCATCCACCAGGCCTCTAGTATTGGTATAATTGTACTGTGATCTAGAAAATCCCTCTTTGAATTAAAACAATGAAGTTATTGTAGGCATTACTACTTCTGCTCTTCAGTAAGGAAGGAAGTTGTTTATCTAGTGATGCTATGATCCAGACATTTTATACAATCCCTAGTGATATTGATTGAAAGGGATTGCATTTTTGGAAACGGGAAAGTATTAACTAATTCAGTGCAATTTGAGTGGTTGTAGCATAATCCCAGTGAATATAAATTTAATGTGTATAATTGCATCAGCTGTGTAATTTCCTAGTTTTTATTTGCCCCAGGCTTTAGGTTTTTCAGCCTTTGTTCTTGTAACAAATATTTTTTGAACACCTATTATATGCTGGGTATTGTTTTAGACACTGAATATATCAGTGAACAAAAGGAATTGTGGAGCTTATTTTCTAGTGGTAGAGATAATAAAGTATATAGTAGATTTAGTGAAGAATGTTAGAACAACAGGAATTAGATCCAAAGAGTTTCATTGGAGAGGAAGGGTGAAGTGATGAGGGAAGAAAAAAGAAAGGGTATTTCAGCAGTGATTTGAAGATGATACAGGGGATAGCTCTTTGGAGGAACCATGAGAGCAAAAGGTCCTGTTCTGATGGTTGTGTTCAGTGAACACTGAGCAGTATAATAGTGGAATTCATGAAGGTGAGTACGATACGATTTCAGAGAAACAGAGAGTCTTGCACATTGGGGGTCATTGTAAGACGTGGTTCTACTGAAAATCATATTTGAAGATTTTGAGTCTAAGAGGGGCACTGACTTGGGTTTTAAAGGGATTGCTCTGCCTATGTTCACAATAGCCAGGGGTCTTCAAACTACGGCCCGCGGCCACATGCGGCCCACAGAGGAGTCTGATCTGGCCCGCCAGGTTTTTTGGGCAGTGAGCGCAGCCGAGGTGTTACAGTAGGAATTAGTAGTTCATATAGTCTGGCCCTCCAGCTCTCTGAGGGACCGTGATCTGGCCCCCACTTTAAAAAGTTTGAGGACGCCTGCAATAGACTCTAAAGGGGATTGAGTAGGAACAGGGAAACTAGTTGGGGCATACTATAGTAATCCAGACAGTGAGGGAAGCTTCCAGATTCTAAATCTTGGGGTTTTGTCTATTCATTTTAAAGTTACTTTATAGTTATATTTAGAGTCTAATGAAGTATCTTTCTTATTTTTGCAAGTTTCTTTATTATAAGTTTATTAATTTTTAAGAGCATATGTAAAACTTCATACATTTGAACTAGTTTTCTCAGTCTTATCCATGAAGCTATTAACCTGTTAACTGAGCGTGACCTATAAATACGTCAAACATAAACACTATTGGGAACGGGTAGGACATACGTCCTTGAAATATATGTTGTGCCCTGAGAGGGACGGTATATATTTTTTGTAATTTTTAAAAATATATATATTTTATTGATTTTCTTACAGAGAGGAAGGGAGAGAGAGAGAGAGCTAGAAACATCAATGAAAGAGAAACATCCATCAGCTGCCTCTTGCACACCCCCTACCGGGGATGTGCCCGCAACCAATGTACATGCCCTGGGCCGGAATCGAACCTGGGACCTTTCAGTCTGCAGACCGGCGCTCTATCGCTGAGCCAAACCGGTTTCGGCACAGGGTTATATTTTAGAATTACTCTATACTGCTATCTTTCCTTTATCATTTTTTAATTCGATTATTCCATTTTTTTGTTGGTATTCTTTTCTATTTGTTTATAATTTTGTGTTTTCCTTTGTGCTTTATATATAAATAAACGAAAAAAATATATTTCATTTATTTTAATTAAGTATAAATAAAAAAATGATAATATAAAATTACGTCCACTGGGTGTGACTTACTGACACGTCCTAGTGAAAGAGTATGCGCCCGTTGTACGTTGCGTAATTAAAAAGGGAACTCCCTGGTTAACAGGTTAATGTATCTTTAAAGTTAGAGTGAGAAGTTAAAAAACATTAATTTGAAATCTAATTAATGGTATGCATGCTAAAGTTTTTAGGGAAAAGAATAATAGGGGAAATTTTTAATCTGGATTAATGAATGTAGAATGGCTAGATTGTGTTAATAAAAACATTAGTAAAATGTTAATGATGATTTATATTGGACATCCTAATATATAAAAAGCCAGGACTGACACTATTAACAATTGGACTGACACTAATCAGCAAGCTGTGCAGGGCGACCAGTTTGGCAGGGATGTTAGTGAGGGATGACCAAAAGACTGAACAGCAGGCTGCGTGGGGTGACCAGGCTGGTAGTTGGGACAGTTGGTGGCAACCAGGCCAGCGTTGGAGAGGGCCTGTGAGGGGCTACCAGGCCAGCGTGGGGGGGGGGTAGTTGGGGGTGACCAAGCAGGGCCAGCAGGCAGGTGAGCAGTTAGGAGCCAGTGGCTCTGGATTGTGATAGGGATGACCGACTGCCAGTTTGGCCCTATCCTAAATTGGCATTCGGACATCCCCTGAGGGGTCCTGAATTGATGAGGGTATAGGATGGGCTGAGGGGAAACCCCCTCCCCCTGTGCATGAATTTTGTGCACTGGACCTCTAGATTATTGTAAAACTCAGCTTTGCTATTATGTAAGAAAGTTTTTTTTATAAAACATTGGTTAAAGTTATTTGGCTAAGGTAATCAACCAATTTGATACTGCATATTTTTTCCTTTTTAAGAGTCCTTTTGGTAAATACCTTTGCTTTTGTTTGCAGAAATTACTTGCAGAACTCCAGAAGCTATTTATGAGTAAAAATGAGACATATGTTTTAAAATTATGGCCTTTGTTTGTCAAACTTCTTGGAAAGGTAAGCCCACATCTAAAGAATAGTTCAGTTTTACTGCTAGACCCTTTCATTTCTTAACTTTATATACAAAGCACAGTCAATTTACATTATTCATCAGACCATATATGCAAATTTACCTACTCACTAAAATTTATTTGTAAAGCTAACATCAGTACTTGTTCTGTATAATTTTCTAAATGTATCACCAGTGTGTATACCAGACATACAGGGTGGCAAAAAAAATGAGTTCCTAGTACAGTTGTTCCTAGCTGACCTAAGATTGTGCTTTGCCATTTTGTTTGAATTCTCTATATTCTCTAAACAAATGTCCTTTTCATGATCCAGTTATTGCCATATTTTTCACATTTTGGGCTTTTTCTTGACAATCACATTGTTTAATGGCCCCCAAGCATAGTGTTGAAATGCTATGATTCCTAAATACAGAAAGACTGATGTGTCCTATGAAGGTAATATGGATATTAAAGGTTTGTTCAGAACTGAGTTATAATACTTTAGGCCAGGAGTTCAATGTTAGTGAATTAGTGAAACACAGTTAACGCACTGCCTAACGATGATTAGATCAACAACAGATTGCATATACTAGGCTGGTTGCATAAGTTGATAATTGAACTGAGAATTCCTATTGGCTAATGATATCACATGTTTGTTATGATGCTAGTGTCAAACCTGTGTTGCCAGTTGTGTAAAAGTATATCGTACAATTTTGTATGGTACCTAGTATTCGATAATGAATAAATGTTACTGCTTAGTATATTTATTGTCGTATTTATCACTATTTTAGTGTACTCTTACTGCTTATTAACAAATATTTTCCTATGGAATAGTGTGCCATGTTACCCTGTCAGCAACCTCATACATTTTGGTCTTACGTCATCTCTTAATTGCATCATTTTCTCTTGTGCTTGATTTAATCTCATGTGTGTATTAGCATAATGTACAGGTATACAGCCAAGAAGTTGACTCGTGTGTAATACGCTATAACATCTAGATTTGTGTAAGAATACTCTATAATGTCTGCACAACAATTGCCTGATGTATTTCTCAGAACATATCCCTTTGTTAAGCAGTGCATGACTATAAGTAAGGTGTCTTTAAAAAAATAATTCTAAAGCAAGGTTGTGTATTGATTGGTTGATGCAATCTGACCCGAAGCTCACAGGAACTTAACTGAATTTTTTTAAAAAATATATTTTATTGATTTTTTACAGAGAGGAAGAGAGCGGGATAGAGAGTTAGAAACATCAATGAGAGAGAATCATCAATCGGCTGCCTCTTGCAAGCCCCCACCCTCCAACCCATCCTCATCCATAGGTGTATGCCTTTTTTTTTTTTTAATTTATTTTATTTATTTAAATAAATCTTTATTGTTCAAATTATTACAAATGTGATCCTCTTCCCCCCCTCAATTGCTCCTCTCCACCAGGTTCCCACCCCACCCTCTGTCCTTTCCCCATCCCCCATTGTCCTCATCCATAGGTGCAGTTTTTGTTCAGTTTCTTCCCGCACTCCCACTCCCCTTTTCCCCCAGAATCGTCAGTCCATTTCCCTTCCATACCTCTGATTCTATTATATTCATCAGTTAATATTGTTCATCAGATTTTTTTAATTCCCTTGGTTTTTAGATTCACTTGTTGATAGCTACGTATTTGTTGATCATAATTTTTATCTTTATCTTCCTCTTCCTAAATAACCCCCTTCAGCAATTCATATAACTCTGGTTTGGTGGTGATGAACTCTTTTAGCTTTTTTTAATTTGTGAAGCTCTTTATCTGGCCTTCAATTCTGAGTGTTAGCTTTGCTGGGTAGAGTATTTTTTGCTGTAGGTTCTTGCTCTTCATCACCTTGAATATTTTTTTTTTTTTTAATATATTTTATTGATTTTTCACAGAGAGGAAGAGAGAGAGAGAGAGTTAGAAACATCGATGAGAGAGAACCATCTATCAGCTGCCTCTTGCACACCCCCCACTGGGGATGTGCCCGCAACCAAGGTACATGCCCTTGTCCGGAATCAAACCCGGGACCTTTCAGTCCACAGGCCGACGCTCTATCCATTGAGCCAAACCGGTCCTGGCATCCTTGAATATTTTTTGCCATTCCCTTCTGGCCTGCATGGTTTCTGATGAGAAATCAGCTGAGAATCGTATGGGTGCTCCTTTATAGCTTTTCTCTTGCTGCTTTTAATATTCTCTCTTTGTCTTTTGCTCTTGGAATTTTAATTATGATGTGTCTTGGTGTGGTCCTCCTTGGATTCCTTTTGTTTGGGGTTCTGCGGGGTTCCTGGACTTGTAAGTCTAATTCTTTCCCCAGGTGGGGGAAATTTTCTGTCACTATTTCTTCCAATATTCTTTCGGTATCTTGCTCTCTGTCATCTTCTGGGACACCCATAATTCTGATGTTGGTTCGCTTGAAATTGTCCCAGAGGTTTCTTACACTATCTTCAACTTTCTGGATTCTCTTATCTTATCCCTTCTGCAGAGGAGTGTCCTCTGGCTCTTTGTGTTCTGAATCTTTGTCTTGATTCTTGCGATCTTCCAGTCTGTTTTTAGGACTTTGTATAATATTTTTTATTTCAGACAGTGTTTTCTTCATTTCTAGTTGATCCCTTATTTCTAGTTGCTCCCTTTTCATATCCTCATAGGTCTCATTTATTTTATTGGCCTTTTTTAGGATATTGTTGAATAACCTTATAACTGTAGTTTTGAACTCAATGTCCAATCTTTTCTTTTCCTCCGTCTTCTTCCTTTGTGTCCTTCCTCTTGTCTGCATTTTAGTTGTTTCCCTGATTTGATGGAATAGCTTTGTGTGCTAGGTGTTCTGGTAGAGCCCAGTAGCACAGCCTTCCCAGTTACCTGCAGTGGACAGTCTTGGTGTAGCCCTTTGTGGGCTGTGTGTGCAGTCTTGTTGTTAAGCCTTGCTTATTGTTGGTATCACTGAGAAGTGTTGATCTCCAAGCCAATTGGCTGTGAGGATCAGCAGTGTCTCAGCTAGGAGGGCTTCTGTACTCTGCTTGGATTGGGCGGGGTCTTGGGATGGCGCAGACAATCTTTGGTTCCCTGTCAGACTCGCCTTAGAAAAGTCCTTCTCAGTTCCTGAGGTTCAGCGTGCCTTCTCTCTCCTTCCCAGATGGCAGAGCCTCCTCTCAGCTAGCCGTCTGGTGCTTCAGGGCAATGCCTCCCCTGTTTTTCAGTTCTAAATTCAAATTTGTTGTGGTAGGCTACATTCAGGTGTCTACCCTACGCCGCCATCTTGGTTTCTCCGGTGTATGCTTTTTGTTCAGTCTCTTCCTGCACCTCCCACTCCCTTTCTATACCCCTGATTCTTCCTGGAATTGTAAGTATTTCTTTCACCAGGTGGGGGGAGTTTTCTGTCACTATTTGTTCAAATAGGTTTTCAGTATCTTGCTCTCTTCTTCTGGCACCCCCATAATTTGGATGTTGGCATGCTTGAAGTAGTCCCAAAGGCTTCTACACTATCTTCAACTATTTGGATGCTTTTTTCTTTTTCAGAGGAGTGTTTTTTGCTTCTTGGTATTTCAAATCTTTGTCTTGATTCTTGCAATCCTCTAGTCTGCTTTTAGGTCTCTGTATAATATTTTTTTAATTTCAGTTAGTATATGCTCAGTTTCTAGTTGATCCTTTTTCATATCGAGGGTCTGGTTAAATTTATTGGCCTTTTCTAGGAAATTCTTGAAAAACCTTATAACTGTGGTTTTGAACTCTATATCCAGTCTTTTGCTTTCCTCTATTTCCTTCATTTGTGGCCTGCCTGTATATTTCTGCATTTTAGCTGCTTCCCTGATTTGATGGAGTTGCTTTGTATGCTAGGTGTCCTAGGAGGGCCCAGTAGCTCAGCCTCTCCAGTTATCTGAGGTGGACACTCTTGGTGTACCACTTGTGAGCTGTGTGTGCAGTCTTGTAGTTAAGCCTTGATTGTTGTTGGTTTCACTGGGAGGAGTTGACCTCCAGGACAATTGGCTGTGAAGATCAGCACTGTCTTCGCTGGGAGCGTTTCTGTGCTCAGCTTGGATAGGGTGGAGTCTCAGGTTTCCTGTCAGCCCCGCCCTAAGAGGGCCCTGTGTTTCAGTGTCCTGTGGCAATGGCTGCTCGCACCTTTGAGTGAAAGCTGCTCTTGAGTTTCTTGAGAGAAACACACTGCCTGACAGTCCAGATTCTCCCCGAATGAGCCTGGTACCCAAAGTCTCACCTGGAGCTGGATTTCATTGCAGTCAGGAGGTTTTGTTTTCCTCCTTAACGAGAAAGCTAGCCATGCACTTGCTTTCCGCCGCTTATTCAGCCGCCTGCCCTTTCCAAGTGCTTGGGTCTCCACACTTCCTCAGCTCCTCTGAGTCTCAGTGCTTTTTTCTAGTTGTAGAATTTCCACTCAGCCAGCTTTTCCGGTGGTTCTGGATGATGTCCGCTCTGTCTTCCAGTTGCCGTTATAAAATTGTTGTGCAGGGCAGCAGTGTAGGTGTTTACCTAATGCCACCATTTTGGTTTCTCCTCTTAACCATTTTTCATACCTGTTTTATTTACTGTATTTGAAAAGGTGTTTTATTAGTTTCAGTATCTAACATTTCTTATTTATTCTTTAATATAGATTATATATATATATTTTTTTCATGTACTCACTTTTTGGGATTATGTTAGTAAAATTGGTTTTTATCTGACCTTCCTAATTTTCTGTAATGGTTTGTGTTCTATATTATCTGTTTCATGAAGTTTATATTTTGTGATTTTGAAATTTGAATGTGCATATAGAATTTGGTACTTTGAAAAATGTTAATTCCTAAGATTTTTATTTAACTGAAACAGAATGAATTAGATTAGTGAATCATACTAGTGCCTTATGCCTTGTTTTAGGAAGTCAATAACTTTTTAAATGACTTTTTCTTTTTTAAATGACTTTTTCTTTTTTAGACTTTACATCGAAGTGGGAGTTTCATTAATTCTCTATTACAGCTGGAGGAACTGGGATTTCGTAGTGGAGCACCCATAATTAAAAAAATAGCTTTTATTGCTTGGAAGAGTTTAATAGATAATTTTGCGTTAAATCCAGGTAAGTAATATTTTGAAATTTTGAATATTTAATGTTCAAAAACTATCAAATACCATTTGTGGCACTCTTAGTACATCATTACCTATCTTACTTATGGTCACAAGAGATCTGAGGTACTAAGTATTTTTACTATTTTGGAGTGATTACAGAATTTATCAAAGGTCTCAATAGATGATAGGAAACAATTGTGATTGTTATGCAATTAACATCACTGACTGAATTTTAAAATATATATTTATTGATTTCAGAGAGGGAGGAAGAGGGAGAAAGAGAGAAACATCAATGGTGAGAGAGAATCATAGATTGGCTGCCACTGGAGATTGAGCTTGCAACCTGGGCATGTACCCCTGGCTGGAATCAAACCGGGGACGCTTCTGTCCGTAGGACAACGCTATCCACCAAGCCAAACCAGCAAGTGCAACTGGTGAACTTCTTTTTATCTCTTAGGACATTTAGAACTGTACCTAATAGTAGATTAATATTAATATACTAGAGGCCTGGTACACAAAAATTTGTGCACTGGGGTGGGGGAGTGGAGGGCAATCCCTCAGCTCAGCCTGCACCCTCTTGTAGTCTGGGAGCCCTCGGGGATGTCTGACTGACCACCAGGGGCAGTTCCGGCTCAGCTACTGGTAGCCTCCCTCTGCAGGTGAGAACCAGGGGATGGGGAGTGATCAGGGGACAGCGCCAGCCTATGAGCAGCTGGTTCTTGATTGCTGTTCCCTCCCTCTTCCCGCTGGCACTCACCGTGGCTGGTCTGGCGCTGCCCGCTCACCCACCCCACCCCCTGCCAACTGGTTGTTCCACTGTTTGGTCACTTTGCATATTAGGCTTTTATTATATATGCTATAAGTGTTTCCTTGTGATTTACTTTAAACTTAACATCCTATTATCCTAGTGAAGGTGTTTGATATGAATGGATGGATGCATAGATAGAGATATAGATACATATATAGATATAGATGAAAAAGAATGTTTAGCCCAAAGATGGGTCAGTATTAAGTACCTACTTACTGGGTAATTAATATTCAGAATAATACATACAGATGTACTAAGTACTGTGGATTTCATCCTATATATTTTTTTTCTACCAATGACCATTCATTCCTTTCACTTTTAATGTATTTTATAAAGTGACTAGATGCCTGGTGCATGAAATTTGTGCACGGGAGAAGGAGATGTGTCTCTCAGCCCAGCCTGCACCCCTCCAATCTGGGACCCTGGCTCCCAACCATTTGCCTGCCTGGTTGCCCCTAACCACTTCCTTGCCAGCCTTATAGATGCCTAACTGCTCCCTTGCTGGCCCGATTGCCTCTAACTGCCCTCCCCTGCCAACCTGGTCATCTTTAAATGCCCTCCCCTGCCAACCTGGTTGCCCTCAACTCCCCTCCCTTGCAGGCCTGGTCATTTCCAACTGCCCTCCCATGCGGGACTGGTCACCCCCAACTGCCCTCTCTTGCAGTCCTGGTCACCCCTAACTGCCTTCCACTGCAGGCCTGATCCCCCCAAATTGCAAATGCCCTTCCCTGCAGGCCTCGTTGCCCCCAACTTCCCTCCTCTGTCAGCCTGGTCACCCCTAACTGCCCTCACCTAGAGGCTTGATCGCCCCTAGCTGCCCTCCCTTGTAGGCCTGGTCCCTCCCAACTCCCCTCCCCTGCTGACCATCTAACTATCATTACTTTTATTAAAAGGGTTGGTAAAAGTGCATTACTGGGCACCATTTTTAATTAGAAATGTCACTTTCTTTTTTTGTTGCTTATGAACTATTAGCACGAGATAATGTTCACGACTAAATCTGTTGGAATTATAAATGGTTGAATGTTACTGCATAAAATAGGAAGGGTTTAAAGAAGATGAAGTACGTCTAGAGCTAGAGTCTATGACTTGTATTATAGGTCGAGGCAGTCGTTATCGAAAGTGCTTGACTCTTCTGTCATCTTCAGTATGCCTTAGTTACAAACTATAGGAAAAAGGGAAGGCAGAAAGCAGAAATGAACTTCTTAGCTGAGTTGGCTATCTATAGTGAGCATTCTAGAAATTCACATTCATCATCACTTAAGTTTCATTGGGTAGAATGGCTAAACAGGAGACTAGATAAATAAGTAAAAATTGGGCAGCCATCATTGTTATGAATGAACACAAGTCTGGTAACTAAAAGAAAATGGATTGTATGGCATTTGGCAATCTGCTACAGGTGGTTTTTTTGGAGCTCGTATGTAGAGGATTTGTTCTCACAGTAGTCTGACTTGTTTTCTTACTTCAAAGTCCTTTTGAAGTCTTTGATAAGTTACTTTAGCACAGACTGTCTTTTTATGTATTCCCAGTCATACTCACACACTATAGAATTCTGATGTAAATATTTTGCTTAAAGAATTAGATTTCATTTTTATGCTGAATTTTAATATGTAATTATTAATGTAGATGTAGGTTTTCAAAATCTAATGTCAACAACAGTTATAATGCTTGATAAAATAAATTATTAGCAAAATTTAAATATATTCCTTTTTAAAAATATTTATTTTATTGATTTTTTTACAGAGAGGAAGAGAGAGGGATATTTAGAAACATCGATGAGAGAGTGTCATCGATCAGCTGCCTCTTGCACACCCCCTACTGGGGATGTGCCTGCAACCAGTGTACATGCCCTTGACCGGAATCGAACCTGTGATCCTTCAGTCCACAGGCCGAGCTCTATCCACTGAGCCAAACCGGTTTTGGTTAAATATATTCATTTTTGACAGAATGTAAAAAATGCCTCTATTTTTAAAAATATGTTTTTATTGGTTTTAGATAGAAAGAGAGAGACATCGGTGATGAGAGATAGTCATCAGTCATCTGCCTCCTGCACATCCACTACTGGGGGCAGAGCCTCAAACCCTGGCATGTGCCCTGACCGAGAATTGAACTGTGATCTGGTTCATGGGTCAATGTTCAACCACTGACCCACAACAGCTAGGCAGTAAACCTCTATTTTTTACCTGTAAAGTGGAGATGACAAGAATACAAAGCAGCCGAGACCGGTTTGGCTCAATGGATAGAGCGTCGGCTTGGGGACTGAAGGGACCCGGGTTCGATTCCGGTCAAGGGCATGTACCTTGGTTGCGGGCATATCCCCAGTAGGGGGTGTGCAAGAGGCAGCTGATCGATGACTCTCTCTCATCGATGTTTCTGGCTTTCTATCTCTCTCCCTTCCTCTCTGTACAAAATCAATAAAATATATTAAAAAAAAAAAAAAAAAAAAAAAAAAAAAAAAAGAATACAAAGCAGCTTGGACAGTTTCTCAACATTTTTTAATATCGGGCTAGACAGTTTGTTGTGGAGGACTGCTCTGCAGCATTTCTGAATGCACCTCACTAGATGCCAGTAGTGTTCTCCATACCCTTGCCTCTCAAGTTGTAACAACCAAAAATATTTTAGACATTGACAGATGTCACTTGATTGCAAAATCACCCCTGGCCCTCAGCATTTAATAAATAATACTTTTTTTTGTCATTACCTTCCTACCTATTGTTGTCTAGGTGTACTGGAGTTTGTCAGGAGAAAATTTTGGGTGAAACAGGAACACACCTGTTGAATAAAAATTTTAAAGAATTTATTCCCTTGATATGGTTAAAAAAAAAAAAGTGGGGGGGGGGGAACTACTGTATATTCATTCTTAAAATGTAATCTTTTGCTCTTAAATGTATTTACCTGTGTGCTTGTTTCATTTTCCTTTAAGAAATACTGTGTAGTGCGAAAAGATTAAAGTTGTTAATGCAGCCTTTGAGTTCCATCCATGTGCGAACAGAAGCTCTTGCTCTAACAAAACTAGAAGTCTGGTGGTATTTACTAATGAGACTTGGACCTCATCTTCCTGCTAATTTTGAACAGGTAATATTCTAAGTTTTGATAATAATATTTTGTGTTTTCTTTATTAATGTGTTCTATAATCTTTCAGTGTTACTTTTGCTGTGTTAGCAGACCACAATATATAGAAGATCTTTTTTCTTGACTAAGCCCTTTTAATTGGCAAACACTCAAATATCTATTTTTTAGAGACATGAATATTTTTAAAAAGGAATTTCAGAGGACTTAGAATATAACTGAGAATAGATTCAATATTACTAAAACAAATCAAATGCTATAGTGCGTAGATAACAAAATTGGATTGTTATTTTTGTTTCTCTTTTCAGGCTACCTAGGGATAACTAATTATTTAAATTCCATCATATGTTTTTAATATTGTTGAAATGATTTTACAAATTTCTTTAGATATTGATATCCTCTGGGCATTTACACCCAGGCTTAATATTCTTATCTGTACCTCTTTGTTTTTGCAATTAATCCCATCCTTGGTTTCTGAATTTTTTCTAAATTTTTTTTATAGATTTGACAGACAGACAAACATTAATTTGTTGTTCCACTTATTTTATGCATTCATTGATTGATTCTTATATGTGCTTTGACTGGGGAAAGAACCCACAACCTTTGTTGTACGGGGACGATGCTCTAACCAACTGAGCTACCTGCCCAGGGTCTGAAATTTTTTTTTAGTTAAGTATAAAAAGGACAGGTGCGATAGCTTTTATTTTTTTATTGCTTATCTTGGATTTTTCAGTATATTTTAATTTTGGATTTCTAAGTCCTTGTCTTCTAGTCTATGTCAATATCTAATAAGCAGTGAGTATATTCTTACGAAGGGAGACTTTAAATATACTTGAAATTTTTAACACTTTTAAACTTGGTGGAAGATGAACTAATTAAAATTGGACATTGATAGTGTTACATAATTAGGACTGTAATTTTTTTGCAATTTTGCCATGGTAAGGTCCTATTAGACTAACCTTATCAGTTGTCCACATTCATTGGCATAATTTATTCTCATTGACTAGATTTGATTGTGTGGAATGATCTTAGAAATGAGCTTGAAGTTGTCTTAGTTCATATATTTTTAGCAGGTTTTTAAAAAATTTTAAATGAGTCTGTCTGCCAATAGCATTAAAGCTCAGGTAGATATTACTTGCAAAAATTATTTGTGTATAATTTGTAATTTAGAACTGAAATTTATAGATAGTATGCATCTCGGGGTAAATACAGTTTGGTAAAAGTTTTCACTTGTCCAAATTTCAGTATTTTGCCCATGTATTGAAATAGTTCATAAAATTCAACATACTAACAGAATTTATACTGCTTGTTAAAGAAAATCAACTGTCACACAAGGCTTTTTTTTTTTTTTTAAAGGAAATTGTGCAGTTTACAAATATCATTTCCTTTTTATTATTATTGTTACCCTACTAGGTTTGTGTGCCTCTAATTCAAAGCACAATAAGCATTGATGCTAATGCTTCACCTCAGGGCAGTTCATCTCGACTAGCTACTTCTCCAGGCTTAAGTCCTATGACCCCTCAACATAAAGGTAAGAAATAGTCAAACTTGTTTTTATTTATTTATTTATTTATTTTAACCGTATTTTTCGGACCATAAGACGCACTTTTTTCCCCCCAGAAGTGGGGGGAAAAAGTCCCTGCGTCTTATGGTCCAAATATAGCCTACACATATACTTTAAAAAAAAAGTTTTTTTACTTGCCCGGCTCTGTGTTGTCTCTGTGTGCTTGCCCGGCTCTAAAATGGTTCTAAATGCTGCTGTTTACTTTACAAGGGTTGATTACATGTGTTTATGACTGTGATGTTGGGTTTTAATGCACATAAAATATTTTAGGACGCTATTTGTTTCAGAATCTTTTTTTCTTCATTTCCCTTCTCTAAAAACTGGTGCGTCTTATGGTCCGGTGCGTCTTATGGTCCGAAAAATACGGTAAATGCTTTGGCTGAAGACTGTTCAGTGTTATTCACATGAAATGACTTAATAATTTTGGTCCCCCATCACAACGATTATTATATTTATATTCTCCATCATTAATGTTTACTGCAATAATTGCATTTTTGTAGTTGGGAAACATCAACTTTTCCACAGTACATTATGTGAGGTACATTACAGATAATTGTATTGGTTTCAGAGCCAGTATTTTAAGGAACATTATTAACCTGTTAACCGAGCGGGACCTATAAATACGTCAAACATAAACACTATTGGGAACGGGTAGGACATATGAATACGTCCTTGAAATATATGTTGCGCCCTGAGAGGGACAGTATATATTATTTGTAATCTTTTATTTTTTTTATTTTTAATACATTTTATTGATTTTCTTACAGAGAGGAAGGGAGAGAGATAGAGAGCTAGAAACGTCGATGAGAGAGAAACATCGACCAGCTGCCTCCTGCACACTCCCACCAGGGATGTGCCCACAACCAATGTACATGCCCTTGGCCGGAATCAAACCTGGGACCTTTCAGTCCGCAGACCGACGCTCTACCGCTGAGCCAAACCAGCTTCGGCTGTAATCTTTATAATTGTTTGTAAAATTTATAATTTTTTAATTTGATGATTCCATTTTTTTGTTGGTATTCTTTTCTATTTATTTGTAATTTTGTATTTTCCTTTGTGCTTTATATATGAATAAATGAAAAAATATATATTTCATTTTAATTAAGTATGAATTAAAAAATAATAATATAAAATTACGTCCGCTGGGTGTGACGTACTGACACGTCCTAGTGAAAGAGTATGCGCCCGTTGTATGTTGCGTAATTAAAAAGGGAACTCCCCAGTTAACAGGTTAAAAACAACATCTTAAGATATGTAAGAAATGTGGCTTAGCATGTATACCATGAAAGAAAGTTATTTGCTATTATTACTTTCTGTTAGCTGTTTTTTATACTTACGTTTAAGGAATGCCTGAATAGTAATAATTTAGGGTAAGGATTAATGCCTGAGAATTTTATTCATTTAAATGGTTTGTAACAAATAATCTTGTTCTTAATATTCAATTGGAATTCTGTGAGTTTTATACAAAAACTTTCAACTCTTGAAAAACACAATTTACATTTGAAGGTAGATTTCATTGGAAGGAAATGAGCAATATGTTCATTTGGGTAGATAATTTAAGCTTACCTAACTTTTTTTTTTTTTTTTTTTGCTTTAAAGGTGCTTCTCCATATGGAGCCTCGGTAACCACCCGGATGAACTTGAGTTCGAATTTTGGTGTAATGGCCACAATCCCCTCTATTCAACTTTTAGGACTTGAAATGTTACTTCATTTTCTGTTGGGTCCAGAAGTTTTAAGTTTTGCTAAGCAAAACAAACTTGTACTGAGCTTAGGTATTTGCTTTAAAAATAATTTCAGTTATTGAAACCGTATAGAACATAGTTAATTGGAAGTGATTTGATTAGTACTGGAATGATTTTAGGGAAGTTTCTTCATATTTTTTTTTAACATATGACTTTTAAAAAGCTTAAATGAGTCTGTCTACCAATAGCATTAAGATTCAGGTAGATGTGCCCTAGCCGGTTTGGGTCAGTGAATTGGGGACTGACGGGTCCCAGGTTTGATTCTGGTCAACGGTACTTTGGTTACACACTTCTCCCTGGCCTGGACCCTGGTCAAGGCTTGTGCAGAAGGCATCCAATCTAAGTGTTCCTTTCACATCGATGTTTCTCTCTGTCTTTCTCTCTCTTATATTCTCCCTAAAAAAATCAATGGAAAAATATCCTTGTGTGAGGATTAACAAAAAGAAAAAAAAAAAAAAATCAGGTAGATGTTATTTGTAAATATTATTTGTGTATAATTTGGAATTTTGAATTAAAATACAGTTTAATAAAAATATTTTGTAATTATGAAATAATTATAACCTTTTTAAAAAGAAAACATGTCATACCACCTAAAATTTAATATTGAGAAGTTTATTTCATAAAGTGGTTTTACACAGTTGTCTCTTTTTTTGTTCTAGAGCCTCTTGAATATCCGTTAATCAGCAACTCTTCTTTTTTTTCCAAATATGCAAATACACTTATCACTGCTGTTCATGATAGCTTTGTTGCAGTTGGAAAAGATGCTTCTGGTAACTATTTAAGACAAGTTTTTAAAATAATTTGTTCAAAAATCAATTAAAATAGCAAACAGTTATATAGTGTCACCTATTATCTATAGATCAGTGGTCCGCAAACTGTGGCTCTCGAGCCACACGTGGGTCTTTGGCCCCTTGAGAGTGGCTCTTCCACAAAATAATCACGAGCAGGCATGCATGCATAGTGTGATTGAAACTTCGTGGTCCATGCACAGAAGTCGATTTTCGGCTCTCGGAAGAAATTTCAATTGTTGTACTGTTGATATTTGGCTCTGTTGACTAATGAATTTGCCGACCACTGAACTAGATTATATTGTAAGATATAGTTTATTTAATCCGTACAATAATCTTTTGTGTTAGTTTTGCAGATGAGAAAATTCCATTGTTCTATAAGTAAATAACCTGTCCAAAGTCACACAGTAAATGGTAGAGCCATGAATCAAGCTCAGACTATTATACCATCATCTACACCTAACTCATTTGTTCAATAGCCTATCAAGCGAAGAGAAGAAATTTCGTAAATAAAATAGTTTGCTATTTAATTGGCTTGGGAAATTTTTTTCTAGTGGTTTTTAGGTATTCTGATATTTGTTTTTTGTTGTCTCAAAAGTTTAAGATATTGAATACAGAAAATATAAGAGAAGGGGGGAAAAAAGAATGAAATATAGTTACATGACCCTGTGTTAATATGGTACAGTCCTTCAAAACAAAACAAACAAAAAAAAAACAATCACATTTCTTTAACAAAAATAAGGTGATAGTGTTTTATAAACTGATTTATTATAAAGTTGAATATTAGAAGGAAAATTATATTCTAAATTAATTGCTCAATTTCTTTAGTATGAGAGGAGTGCCATTATAGTCATACCTACTTTGTTCTAAAGTACTTTACGTTTTATTTTGACAGATGCAGTTGTCAGTGCTATTTGGAAAGAGCTAATTAACTTGGTCAAATTAGTTATTGAATCAGGTAAGCACCATAATACTGATCAAATGATTTTTATGGCACTCATTAAATTATTTGGCTTTTATATATAAAATTTATTTTAAAATAATTTTTTGAACTATAGCTTCCAGACTTAGTTTTTAACAAAGCTCTTTATATATATGTTTTCAATGATTTGAGAGAGAGAGGAAGGGAGGGAGGGGGAGAGAGAGAGAGAGAGAGAGAGAGAGAGAGAGATGGATGAGAGAGCAAGATTGATTGGCTGGTTCCTGCACAGCCACCACCTGAGCATATGTCCTGACAGGGAACCAAACAGGTGACCTAGGTGCATAGGATAATGCTCAACCAACTGAACTACACTTGCCAGAGCACAAAGCATTTTTTTTGATTTAGTAAAAAAATAATTTTCATAGCTCTCTTAAATGTATATTTTTACCCCTGAAAATCTGTCTATATAAAAGCTTAAGCGACTCGTCACTATGACATGCACTGACCATCAGGGGGCAGACGCTCAGCACAAGAGCTGGCCTCTGGTGGACATGGTGTTCCCACAGTGGAAGCACTGCTCAGCTGACTGACGGGCCAGATGCAGGGCCCATGGCTGGCGAGCACTGCTGCGGTAGCACGAGCCTCTCCCGATGGGCGAGCCTGTGGCAGGCGCAGCACAGCGGGCCTGGAATGAGTGGTAGGGATGCGTGGTAATGGTATGCAAGAGTGACAGGTGGTGTGCCAATTTCAGCCCAATCCCTGTAGGGCAAGCTGAGGGACCCCACTGGTGCACTACCATGCACTGGGCCTCCAGTAATTGTATGTTTAGAAGTACATTCATGCTTTTACTTGTCCGTAGGTAACAAAAAAGAGAGACCAGGTTCTGAGGTTTTGACCCTCTTATTAAAATCTTTGCAAACCATAGTGAAATCGGAAGTATTTCCTGTATCAAAAACACTGGTAAGTACAATACCTATATGCTGGTTTTTAAAAACCACTCTTGGAAATTGAAATTATATTGCAGATCAGGATTTGAGAAATATCAAGTATTAAACATGAGTTGGCCATGTAATAAATGCTATTCCATTGACTTAATAGTCAATTGAAAACAAAGTAATGGCTATAATGTCAACTGTAAAAATCTTTCATTATAATGAGAAGAAGGATAAGCTACAGAGAGAAAATTAGGTAAAGGACATGAAACTTGAACTGAAAAAACTTGGATGAACACTAATATTATGACAAGATTGCTATGCTCGCCCTAACTGGTTTGGCTCAGTGGATAGTGTGTCGGCCTGCGGACGACTGGGTCCCAGATTTGATTCCAGACAAGGGCATGTACCTTGGTTTGGGACACATCCTCCTATATCAGCTGTATAGGAGGCAGCTGATCAGTGTTTCTCTCTCATTGATGTTTCTAACTCTATTCTTCTCCCTTCCTCTCTGAAAAAAAAAAAAAAAAAAAAAGAATAAAATATATTTTAAAACAGATTGCCAAGCTCCACTAATTGCTATTTGTACACTTAAGAAAATGTAACAATCTTATTATGGATCTTTGCATTTTAAAAGAACACCCCCCCCCCCTTTTTTTTTAAGTCCTCACCCAAGCATATGTTATTCATTTTAGGGAGAGTGGGAGAGAGACACGCACACACACACACACACACAGAGAAAACATCAATGTGAGAGAAATATGAATTGGTTGCCTCCCACATAGGGCTGGGAGATCGAAACTGAAACCCTGGTACAAGCCTTTACTGGAATTCTAAACTGCCACCTTTCTATGTATGGGATGATATTCCAACCAACTCAGCCACACTGGCCAGGGCATTAAATGAAATCTCTTTAACCAACATAGTTACATTGATATTAAACATCTCTTTTATGTAGAGGGGAGTGGGAGAAAAGCTAATTAGTGTACTTTTTATAATAGTGAATCTTCCCAAATAAGCTGCAGATGGGGCAAATAATACCCTTACATAAAATCTGAATCTGTTTCCTGTATGTGCTGTGACAATGCCTAGTATGGCAGTTGAGCATAATGGTTAATATCAAGGGCTCTGGAGCTGGCTAGGTTGAATCTCAGCCTATTTATTAGCTGAATGAAGTAGGGCAATGGATCTGTTTTTCTTGTCTCTGTTAAGAAATAATGCAGTGTTCTCAGGATGGTTTGATATGTGTACAATACTCCAGGAACAAAGTAAATGAGTTAACAAATGCTATTTATTATCATTAGTATCTGCTTTAAATGAGTATATATGAACCATATTTTCACTAACAGTTTTCCTTTTTGTTACGTCCTTTTGTTACATAGTTCAGGTTAATTACCAGTCTAGTGATATTTTGGGTCAACAGTTTGCTAGGTTCTCACATTTGTCTTAGATTCAGCTTTTTGTTAGGAATTCTTAGAAATACTTAATTCTAGTACTGTGAATAAGTAATTCATTGAAGAATTTCTTTTTGTAATATAAAAAGCTAGAAATAGCCTCAAGAGCTATTAATAGAAAAATGTTTTTGCATTATGTATGTTCATATAGCAGTTAGATGTGTGTCTACATATATTGATGTGAAAACTCCACAAAGTCAGATGAAGGTCATATTATTTTAGTAAAATATCACTTGTATAATGGTATAAAAGAGTATGACAGCCACACATAGAAGACGTTTCTTGGTATACTTACCGTATTTTTCGGACCATAAGACGCACCGGACCATAAGACGCACCAGTTTTTAGAGAAGGGAAATGAAGAAAAAAAGATTCTGAAACAGTGTCCTAAAATATTTTATGTGCATTAAAACCCAACATCACAGTCATAAACACATGTAATCAACCCTGTAAAGTAAACAGCAGCATTTAGAACCATTTTAGAGCCGGGCAAGCACACAGACCACACAGAGCCGAGCAAGTAAAAAAACTTTTTTTTTAAGTATATGTGTAGGCTATATTTGGACCATAAGATGCAGGGACTTTTTCCCCCCACTTCTGGGGGGGAAAAAGTGCGTCTTATGGTCCGAAAAATACGGTACATATATGTGGAAATTTAGGTGGTCTAGAAAAATAAACTCTAAACTCACATTAGTTATCCTTGGAAATAAAGGACTTTGTCATTTTAGTTTTTATATTTCTGCATTTGAACTTTTTAAACTAGTGCAACATTATATGACAACATATTTAATGAAAGTATCATGACAAATTTTTCAATTAAAAATAGAGTTAATACTATGTAGGTCTTTATATAAAGTACTACGTATATAGATCACTTATAATAAAATCTTTGTCTTTCTTAGGTTCTCATGGAAATTACAATTAAAGGACTTCCTCAGAAAGTATTAGGTTCACCAGCATATCAGGTTGCTAATATGGATATTCTTAATGCAAGTATCTTAAATGTTATTATATGATTAAAATGAGCCAAAAAAAGAAAAGTTCCATGATTTCCCTTTCTTCAAATAGTGAGTCTTAAGTTGTAAAATTTTGAGAAAATTGGATGTGCTGATTATGTTAAAGAAAAAAATTGATAGAGTAATAATGTAAAAAATTAAGTACATCACTATTAAGGAAACTATTTTCTGGGATTAAAAACGGGTTTCAGAAAGAAAGTTTTCTATTTGCTTGTACATAATAATAGTGTTGGTTAACGTTACAAATTTTGCAGGTTTAGTAACATTGTCTGAATTGTGAAAGGTGTACTTAATATCAGCAGAATATAAGTATTGTTGGGCCAATAAGTTTTAAGTTAACAATTTTTATGTCTGGAATCTGTCACCATTTCTCATTGTACATGGAACAGCTGTGATTAAAATAATAAAGAGATTGATTCTTTGGTCAATTTATTCAAATACACTTATCCCTTTTTTATCATATATGTTATAAGTTAAATTTTGTCAACCTTAAAAGGATCATGTTTCACATAATTGTAGAAAACGGGAGTAACAAGAAGATTGCACTCTTTATGACAAGAAGATTAACTGCAACCTCTCATCTTTCTTCAGGGAACGCCTGCTTTATTCTTAATTCAATTAATTTTCAACAATAATCTCTTGGGATATGGTGTAGAAGATGAAAGGTAATTTAAGCTGAAAATATTCTTTTAAAATATAGACTTTTTTTAAAATTGATTTTAAAGAGGAAAGGAGAGTGAGAGAGAGATAGGAAATCAATGATGAGAGAGAATCATGGATTGCCTGTCTCCTGCACCTTCCCTCCCTCTCACACTTTCTCCCTCTTCCCCCTGGGGATTGAGCCTGCAATCTGGGCATGTGCCCTGACTCGGAATTCAACAGTGACTTCATGGTTCATAAGTCCATGATCAACCATTGAGCAATGCTGGCTGGGCTGAAAAGATCTTTGTTTACCTTGGAAAATTGGCTTTGTTATAAGATCCTTTGGGTTAACAATATATAATAAAATTTGTCAAAAAATAAGATTCGGAATTCACTTCTTGTTTCTGTGTTATTTTTAGAATTGTATTGCAGTGTAATTAATGTATTTTGGGAAAATGTACAGTTTATTTCATTGTTCAAAATTTTCTCTTCAGGTTTTTTCTTAACCTGGAGACACTTGTAGGTTGTGTTCTTTCTGGTCCAACTTCACCACTAGCTTTCAGTGACTCGGTTTTAAATGTTATTGAACAAAATGCAAAACAGTTGGAAAACAAGGAGCATCTCTGGAGAATGTGGAGTATTATAGTCATTCCATTAACTGAGTTGATTAATAAGGTATGATAAAAGTCTACTACATATTTTATGTTTCCCCCAAGATTTAAGGAATTTTTTTCTTGTTAGAGCATTTGAATAAATGAATAGGAGCTTTCATTTGAATAGAAGGTATTAAATATTTTTTCCTGTGATTGGTTCATTTTCTGCTTTTAAGATTACTTGATTTCTTTTCATTGCACTTCTGCCTTATTGTTCAATAAAGTATAATTTAAGGGGGACTAATCTAGTTCATTTTCTCCAATAGAGTGTCTAATACCGGAACACTCACATATGATACAAATTTTCATGTGTATATCTTGAGTTCTTTCAATATTTGCATTTTGGGGAATAATAACTGTCATCTTGTCTAAACTGTATATTAGGAGGATTCTCATGATCAAGCCATGTTAGTGAAGCCATATAGTAGTGCGTAAATCAGTAATATGTTGAGAGTTGATTAGTCCTTACAATCTTTAAAAAATCGTTTTTCTGGAAATATTTCACAATAACTCAAATGAAGTGATGACTCCAAAGAATTTATTAAGTGAGACTGCAATAGCCTTATTTTGGCTACTCAAGCCAGCACATCATTAAACACATTCTTCTGGAAGAAAATAGGTGCATGTTTTTAAATATTTTCCCAGTGTTTGAAGGACTTGCAAGGCGCTATTTTTTAAGGCCTTTACTGAATGCTACCTTCAGTGTGTAGTACCATAAACAATTTTGGAGTCACTTCTGGGATTCCTTTTTAGGACTTGAAACAGTGCATTGCTATAACAAATTATACCACAAATTGATAGCTTGAAACAACAGCAATTTATTCTTTTATAGCTCTGAAGGTCAGAAATTCAAAGTCAAGGTGTTTGGCAGGTTTCTCTGGACCTTTTGAGGGAGAATCTTTCATGGCTCTTGCATAGCCTCCTGTGGTCACTGACAATTCGTGATGTTTCTTGACATATATTCATTACTCCAATCTCAACCATTTATTTTCCGATGGCATTCTTCTTTATATATTCTGTCTAAATTCCCCTTTTCTTAAATTTTGATTATATCTGCAAAGACCCTGTTTCCAAATAGTGTGAGGAGTTTACCATCTCATGAACATTGGGGACACAATTCTATTCACTACATATTGTATGATATTAATAATTCTCACACTAAAATTAGATGATATACCTAATTTATAATTTTTCTTGTTTCAGACCAATGAAGTGAATCAAGGTGATGCCTTAGAACATAATTTTAGTGCCATCTATGGTGCATTGACTCTACCAATAAAACACATTTTTTCAGCACAGAAAATTTCAGAGGTAAAGTGATGTCAAATTTTTACTTAGGGAATTTTCATTTTTCTGAAAACATTATTTTATCCTTTTTAATGAATTCTCATAGTAATTGTTTCAAGACTTTTTAATGACTTAATCAATATGGGAAAAAGAAAAATAGAGAAGAGATAACTTTTAACACTTGATAACTTGGTATTGTGGCATTATTACGGTTCTCCCACTAGAGCTTTGTTGGTGGATGGCAAATTGATTATCCTCTGCTTGTTTCTTCTTTAACACTTTTAATGTTAGTATTTTTTTAAATGTTAATAATGTATTCTATTAGGTATTTGACATGTAAATAAAACACAAGTTTTTGATGTGTGTGTTTGTTTTAATGTTATTGTTAGGCCACCATGAAGACCTTACTTAGAACTTGGTCAGAATTATATAGAGCATTTGCCCGCTGTGCTGCTTTGGTTGCAACTGCAGAAGAGAATTTGTGCTGTGAGGAGCTTTCTTCCAAGATATTGGTCAGTTTGGAAGATGAAGACTTTTCGGTGAGTTTATCCTGATCCTGATCTTTTAATTTAAAGGATTATTTCCATGTTTCTGGATCCACTCCGTTCATCAATTTTTTCTGTTAATTACATTCCTCATATGAGTGAGATCATGTGATACTTACCTTTCTCTGACTGACTGACTTCATTTAGCATATTACTCTCCGAGTTGGATTTGGGGTTTTCTTTTTATATATTTACCAGTTTATTTAACCTAACTGTGTCTTATGTAGCATGTAAGTAAAGATGGGATCTGTGTTTTAATAAGTATATTTAAATTCTCATATAATTAGAAATAGAGTATATGTTCTTTACATCTTTTTCATTTTGTTTTTTCCTTTACTAACATTTTATTCATTATTTTTTAAATGTCTTTATTGATTTCAGAGAGGAATGGAGAGGGATAAAGAGAAATGGAAACATCAATGATGAGAGAATCATTAATTGGCTGCCTCCTGCAGGCCCCCTACTGGGAATTGAGCCCAGGGCTCAGGCATGTGCCCTTGACCTGAATGAAATCAGGCCCTTTCAGTCCACAGACCAACGCTCTATGCACTGAGTCAAATGGGTTAGGGCTTTACTAATATTTTAATCAGGCTATCTATCTATCTATCTATCTCTTCTATTTTATCTTTATTATATTTTAATATGTTTTTATTGATTTCAGAGAGGGAGAAAGAGATAGAAACATCAATGATGAGAGAGAATAATTGACCAGCTGCCTCCTGCATGTCCCACACTGGAGATTAAGCCCACAGCCCAGGCATGTGCTCTGATTGGGAATCAAAGCATGACCTCCTGGTTCATAGGTAGAACACTCAACCACTGAGCCACGCCAGCGGGGCTTTGTCCTGTTTCTTTTAGAAATTACTACTCAAATCTGTCAGATTTGAAGAGTTAACATCCTGTAGAAGTTAAGATTCTAGCCCATCAAGTGAAGAGATGGATATATTACAATTCCACAAATTTTTATTTTTTACCACCTACCAAGTTTTGTTAAAAAGATTTGCATTTTAGTTATATTTACTGATACAGGGTAATTTGTATCACAGAATTTTGCAGTAGAGTTAATTTGTTATCGCTTCTGTTGCAAATGTATAGTTTGATGTTAATTTTCTTGTTAGCCATTTTTTCTGTACATTTTAAGATATTTTTTTCATAATGTTTGTAACTTACACATTTCACCAGGATGTATTTTCGGGCATCTTTTTACATTATTCTTTTAAATACTGGATAGACCTTTTCAATCTAAAGCACTGTATCTTCATCTCAGGAAATTTTTTGCATTAGCAGTATTCTAATCCTTTATGTAGGTTTTTATTTTTTTATTTTGGATATATACATGTATTTAATAAATTAATATCATTCAAAATACAGTGCCAGAACATTATGCAGTTGAACATGCTAGTAATGTTTGTTATGAAGCACCTATGCTCATGTTAGATGGGCGGTGCCGCTCCTGCTAATAGTTCCTGGATGAATGCCAGAGCAGCACTCGTCGCCACAATCAGTTCAGACAATTTCTGAACAGTTCACCTTTCCAGTAGGCAAACTCATTAGTCAACTGAGCCGAATATCAACAGTACAACAATTGAAATTTCTTTTAAGAGCCAAATTTTTTCAACTTAAACTTCTTCTAATACCACTTCAGGCCGTGGTATTTTGTGGAAGAGCCACATTCAAGGGGCCAAAGAGCCTTATGTGGCTTGAGAACTGCGGTTTTCCAACCACGAACCTTTCTAATCCTACCCACGCACACAATGGGTTAAAAAAACACACCCTAATGGCTAACGGGTATCTACACACAATCATTCTACAGTAATGCTTGTTATTAAGATGTAATGACCTGGTTGACCCGCTCTAAATCTTTATGATGGAGGAATACAACAGCAGCAGGTAATACAGAAAGTGGAGGCATTTACTGATGAAAACTCCACCCACACCCGCTCAATGAGGGACTAATAATCATGGTTTTTAGTCCTTTGGGGTTTATCTTGTGTTCCTTTTATTTCTCTATATGTGTTTGTGCTTTGCTTATTTTTTTTAAAGTCCATTCTATTTTTTAAAATAAGTTTTTATTCATTTTTGAGAGAGGATGGGAGAGAGAGAGAGAGAAATGGCAGTGATAATTGGTTGCCTGCCTCCTACACACCCCTTATTGGGGATCCAGCCCTGACCAGGAATCAATGTGACCTCCTGGTTCATAGATCAATGCTCAACCACTGAGCCATGCCAGCTAGGCAGAAAGCTATTGAGGTATTCTTAGACTCATTGTGCTCGGGTTTCCTTATATTTTTAGTCTTTCCTTGAAACCTGTTCCCACATCTCCACAAAATACCTGCCCTGTTTAAATAAATTTCCAGAAAAATCTCTGATACTTTTATGGATGGGCTTATTTTTATTTCAGTTGGATTGGAAGAGGGGAAGGAAGGGGAGTGAGGTAGCTTAGCAACCTTTTAATTTTTTGTTTGTTTAGTGAAGACTTGTAATTTTCCAGAGGAATTCGATCAAAAATCAATGATAAATGTAGCTCTTCCATTCTCAATTGATTTGTTTATATGTTGAGTTTTATGGCCATCTTAAAGCTGAATTATTTTCTCGGTATGTTGAGAAAAAAAGTATAATACATGGCACACAGCAGTTAACTGAGAAATATTCATAGCTTATACTTAACATAACATATACTATAAAATATTGTGTGTTATTGTAAATTATATATGGGAGTAAAAGTCTTACAATTATGTCAGTGCTTATTGTTTTTGAAAACTATACCAGTAATTGAAAGTTTTTAATACTTTTAATTATTCTTCTCTAGAATTTGTTGTTTTTGGATAGGATCATTCATGTTATTACTGTAGTGGTTGATTGCATCGACTTCTCACCATATAATATTAAAATTCAGTCCAGAGTTAAATGTAAGTATCTTCTTTACCTTTATTTGTTCAAATATTTTATAAACCTGGCTTTCTAAACTGCTGCCATGACAAATTCTAATGGTTTTCCCCAGCTCATTTTACCTATTTTGGATACTGTATAACAATGTCAGTTACTGTGCTAGGAATACTTTTGAAATATACTCATTTTCTTTCCCTCTCTTTCCCTTCCTTTTTCCCTCCCTCCCTTCTCCGCCCTCCACACATGCACAAAATGTCTTTACTCCTTGTTATAACTCTGAAAGACAAATATTCTGTCTAGACATTGCCTAGTCAAATGATTTTACTTACTCCATTTGGTGCAAGGGATTATCTGGACAAGAAACTTTTTATATTTGCTAAAATAAAAATGTTCTTACTTGGTAGTCTGATTTGAAATAATCATTGAGTTAACATTAAGTTTAATAGAAAATCATGGTAGTGGTTAATTGGTTATGATTTATAGAAAAAAAATGATTCTAAAAATTTAACTTCATTTTTATTTAGTTAAAATTGCACAATTAACATAGTGGTATGATTTTTAAAACTATATGCTTTGGTTCATTCTAATAATGAGCTATTTTAATCTAATTGATTCTTTGAAATTAAATGTCTCCATGAATTGAGTATACAGTTGAACCTCGTTTCTCAGTCACGTATCTCTTGGGTGACAAAGGAAAGAATGCATAAATATGAGTTAGTTTACTACTTAAAATCTCAAGATTCTGTGCTGTGAATGTTTTCTTTCTTTTTTTTGTTATTTTTGTTTGCTTTTGATTCTGCTTATAATTATTGGTATATTTTCATTTTTTAATGTTCATTTTCTTCCCTTTTTGTTAAGTTATGTCATGTTCTTTTTGTTTTTAAAGTACTTATTTATAGATTAAACAGTACAATAGACATGTATGTAAAAAAGGTTAAAACAGCATCATTTGGAGGTCTGGAATGAATTAGTTCAATTTACATTATTTCTAATGCGAAAAAATGATTCAGTATTCAAACAGCCTTCCGGAATTAAGTTGCAGAAATGAGATTCCATGTATATATTTATATTATTAGAAAATAACCTTCCAGTAATAATTAGAGCTATTACTTTTCTTGAATAAAGGGTAGGAACATTATTTTAGTAATATCCATAATTGATGAATTAGTGTAAATATTTCTAGAACATAGGCTACTTTTAGAATTGTTTTTTATGTTTCAGTTTTTACTAAGTAGTAATAGAGAGAAACATGTGCCTAGCATATAACAGGTAAGAGCATCCCTGTGTTGACACAATTCTACCTATTTTGTTAATTCTGAAAAATTAGGATTAAATCCACAATTACATGTTTGTCTTTTCACTTTCCTTAGAAGAGGTGTTCTTGTTACTTAAAATTATGCATACTGGGGGTGATTTCTAAAATTTGCCAGGAGAAGCTGAGGAAGAAAGGGGAGAAAGTAGAAATAGTTGAAAGAAAGTATTTATGGATATCTGTCAAGATCACTTGGGGTTTTTGATAACTCTGATTTTGTAATAATTTGTTTTATAGAAATAATTTTTTACTGATACCTTATATCCTTTACTTAGATTCCTCAATTAACAGTTGGTTGTATTTTTCTTACTATTTTCACCTCCCCCCTCCATGTATACATTTTCGTGAATAACTTCAAAGTAGTTGTACACAAGTCTTCAATGTGGAACAATTCCCAAGTTTTGTTTTTCATGACCTGCAAAAGAGAAGAGCACAGGCTTATTTACTTTTTGAGAATCTCTCAAACTGGCCTTGTTGATATTTTGTCAATATTAAATTCAGGTTTCATTAATTTATTTACAAGGATATTTCAGAAGTAATACCATAGTCTTTTCTAGTGCATTATGTCAGCAGGCATCATGCCATTTTGTCCTATTACGGTGATGTTAACATTTACTATTTGTTAGGATGGTATCTGCCAGGTTTTTTACTGTAAAGTAAATTAGTGAATATTTGCAATTAAGAAATTAATGTTTTGTGGCAAATACTTTGAGATATTTAAATATCCTGTTCCTCAGCAAATTTACAGTCATGACTTTATCATTCATTGATGCTTTTTGCCTGAAACACTAGGATGATTCCCAAAGTGAGTTTATATTTCCAAGGAACCTGGTTCCTTTACCCGAGAGAATGGCATTTAAAGATCTGTTCGTTGCCACTATGGTACTGCTGTTTCTGGAGCTTTTTAGTGGATAGGGGTGGTAGAAATAGATGTGTTTGTGACTATACACAGTTGTTTCTTTAGATAAGGGGTGGGGAACATCAGGCCTGCAAAATCATTTAGTCTGGCCCTGCCAAGGCATTAGGGGTGAGTTAATTAAATGTTGGGCCAAATATAGCAGGTAATTTTTAAGTTGATAGTTTTGTATGGCCTGAGAATCTACACTAATAAAAGAATAAAATGCTAATTGACTATACATTTGCCACACTCACCAGCCAATCAGGACTGAGTATGCAAATTAACAAACCAGCAGGTTAATTTGTATATGCAGGTGCAGAGCAGCTGGAGGCAGGCCTTCTGCACCACCCCAGCCGCTCTTAGCCTCTGGGCAGAGTGGGAAGGTGGAAAGGTAGCTCTGGCCAAAGTGAAGGCAGTGCTGGCAGCCAGGGGAAGGAAGGCGCATTCTTGCATGAATCTTCGTGCATTGGGCTCCTAGTGATGTTATAAATATTCAAATGGCCCTTGGCAGAAAAAAGATTTCCCACCCCTACTCTAGATATTTGAGTCTTACCCTTTCCTGTATTTGCCTACTTTCTCTAATAGTGAGAAACCTGGCCCTCCTTACTCTCAATACATTTACTGTTTAATCATTATCTTCTCTGTAACCAGTCTTCGGTATTCTCATCCTCAACATCCTGGCCACGAATTTTTGGGTAGATATTTCAATTTATATTCATCTCTGGGAAACTGCTGTTTCTAGGGAGGATTATTGACTTTTTTTTTTTTTTTTAATATATTTTACTGATTTTTTTTTTAGAGAGGAAGGGGGAGAGAGAGAGGGAGAGAGAGAGAGAGAGAGAGAGCTAGAAACGTCGATGAGAGAGAAACATCGACCAGCTGCCTTTTGCACAACCCCCACCGGGGACGTGCCCGCAACCAAGGTACATGCCCTTGACCGGAATCGAACCCGGGACCCTTCAGTCCGCAGACCGACGCTCTACCACTGAGCCAAACCGGCTTCGGCTTGACTTTCTTTTAGTAGCATTTGTTTTACACTTCACTACTTGATATTTTTAATTGAAAGCACTAAATTAGATTTTTCTCTTTAATATGACATCTTAGTGTAAAAGAATGGATTGAGGGAAACAAAAGTAATTTTGGAATGGGGTTCATCCTTGTAGGTTAGGCACCTTAACAGAGATGGAGGGTACAAAGAAAAAGTTGGACAGTGCTTTTAAGAGACATTTTCTTTAAAGACATTTTTTTCTTTATTTTCTTTATATATTTTATTGATTTTTCGCAGAGGAAGAGAGAGGGATAGAGAGTTAGAAACATCGATGAGAGAGAATCATCGATCAGCTGCCTCTTGCACACCCCCTACTGGGGATGTGCCCGCAACCAAGGTACATGCCCTTGACCGGAATCGAACCCGGGACCTTTCAGTCCGCAGACTGACGCTCTATCCACTGAGCCAAACCGGTCCCCGCGACATACATACATACATATACATCCATACATACATATATATATATTTTTTATTTTTTTTTTAATCGAGGCTTTAAAAAAATATTTCTGCCGTAGCTAGTTGTTGAAATTCTAAGACGATAAAGTAAACTTTTTAAATGCTTCCTTAGAGAAAAGGATTAATTTTTTCCTTTTTTCTCTAATTTTATTTTAGATATTTATTTTGTTTTAGATATTCATCTAATTTTGTGATTATATTCATCCATTAATGGTATGTGTATTTTAAGATTTGTGGTATTGCAACCGAAGTAAGTATATTAGATGCATTTATCATTTAAATGTTAGAATTAAAGATGGACAGTAATACTTTTCAAAGCACTTGAGTTTTTAATAAATTTAATTTTATTTTAGCACTGAAGAGAGCTTCAGATTGGTCCAAAAAGAAGAAGGAGCCCCTTGGCAAATTGGCTTCTTTATTTAAACTTATTGTGAGAGTCATCTATTCATTCCATACTCTAAGCCTCAAGGAAGCACATTCTGATGCTCTTCTCACTGTTGGGAACTCAATCACCAACATTCTCTCCAATGTACTTGGACATATTTCTTTGCCTTCTATGATGCGAAAAATATTTGCAACTTTAACAAGACCTCTGGCATTATTTTATGAAAACTCAAAGTAAGTATTTGGGCTTAATAGCTTTGAAGTATAAGTAGGTAAATTGAGATCTAGGTAGCAAACTTTGGTGGTTTTCTTATCAGCTTTGTTGCTGATAGTAATATTTTACAATTTAGTGGAGAGGATAATAAGTTCATTAGATCATGTGTTTGTTAAAAAGATAGTTGAAATAATACATAATTATGAGGTAAGAGTTGGTAGCCCTTTAAGTTTATATGCTAGTCTAACCCCTTTTCCCATTTAGTGTGTATCTTTTTAGATTTGTTAATACAAACAAGCATACCTATTAAATGTATGATGTATATCAAAGTATATTTGACATGCTACTTTGCAATTTAGTATATGGTATCCACTAAATATATGCATCTTACTTGCACCATACACCTAAGAAGCTCATTCTTTTTAATGTCTGCATAGGGCTTCATGAAATTTATCCATATTCTTATTAATGAACATAATATTATTTTTTCTCTAGCCTTTCCCCTCTTAACCTACAATGTTGCAGTTGAATGTATTTATATTTAAGTCATTGTCTACATTTGCCACTTCTTGCAAAATAAGGTCCTAGATGTGAAATTATTGGTTTAAAAGGATATATACATTTATATTTCTGAATTATCTTCCAAAGTTTTATTTATATTTAATTGAAACAAGTAATTCCTTAAAGAAACCTAAAAAATTGCAAATAATATACTTTTTAAAAACAGTTGCAAGGATTCATCAGTGTTCTTTATAACAAGTTTATATTGTGCAATCATAATATAATCTACGTTTTATAATTAAATTCACAGAGAAAGTTTTAGGAACAGATTTTATTTAATTTTAGTAATTCTTCATTGTTGAAAGTATTACATATGTCCTTCCTTTATTCCATTGATTCCTTCCAGCGCACCCCAGGCCTTCAGCAACCTATTGTGTGTGTGCATGGGTTATGCATATGTACATACAAGGTCTTTGGTTGATTACCTCCTCCCTCCCACCCTTCCCTGCCTTCCTTTTGGGAGTCCCCACTCGTAGGAACAGATTTTATAAAGAATAAACTAGAGCCTCAAATCTATTAACCTTTTGGAAATCATTTTTATAGTTCTTAAGCTTCATCAGAAATAACTGATACTTATAGGTCTATACCATACTTTATACTTGATAATTGTCCTTTTTAAAAAAAAGTCTTGGTACTTTTTTTTTTAAATATCACTATACATGCATGTCTCATTTTATGGCTGCATTCATACTTTTAGGTTTACCTTTTCTAAAATATAAATAATATTGCATCTTTTTTTCTTCACAGGCTTGATGAAGTTCCTAAAGTATATAGTTACATGAACAACAAGGTAAAAAAATAGACAATTACCCATAAACATACATCATGGTGAGAAAATGTTAGGGTTTAAATAATTGTCTTCCTTAATAGAAATTGCTGACTTTTAAAGGTGTTATCATACTTCAACTTTAATGGACATCTAATAATATGACAAACAAAGGATGGTTTATTTTGTATGTTTGTTTGCAATAATTTTCAGTTTGCAGGTTAGGGACCTGGGCCTGTTATTATTAAATCATGCTTTCTGGACCTCTATCCCTGTTATAGGGTTTATACCACTGGCCTTCAAACTTTCTCCTCCAGCAGAATTACCTGGAGTCTTGTTAAAACACAATAGGCTTTAGCCCTGGAGTGGCATGGAGTCTGAGAATTTGCATTTCTGACAAGTTCCCAAGTGATGTTGATGCTGCTGGACTGAGGCCCACATTTAATTAAATTAATTTATTTTAAGAATGTATTTGGTTTCGGAGAGAGAGAGATTGATAGAAACATGAATGATGATGTTTCATTGATCAGCTGCCTCCTATACACCCTCTACTAGGGCTAGGAATCAAGCCCCCAACCTAGGGATGTGCCCTTGACTGGAATCGAACTCTGGATCCTTCAGTCAGTAGGCCCAGGCTCTAACCACTGAACCAAGATGGCTAAGGTGGAGGCCACATTTTAAGAACACTGATTTGTACCTTCTGGACAACATTTTCATCATGCTGGTTCACGGCAAAGCTTTACTTTTTTAAAGTATAGTTTTTTAAAAGAAGGATTTAAAAATATTTCTTTAAATTTATATAACTCCTATCATCTCTTTATGGGGATAACTGGTTTCAATTGTCTGTATATACAACTGTATAAACACTTAATCGATTAAAATTGATGTGAAAACAAAATTTTCTGTTAATAGAAAATAAGCTAGAAATAAGGTTCTAATTTTAGTAACCTTAAAGTTACTTGATAAATTGTCAGCTTATATAGTATATATTGAAGGGGATGGATGGAAGCTTTTAAAAGGCCATTTTAAGTATAAATTTTTAAAAATTTTCTTCCAGCAACATTATTTAAGGTTCATTACCAAAAACCAGAAGTTGTTTTAAAAACCACTTTTAACCCCATTCAGAAGTAAGCGTTATTTTAGGAATCTTGCATTTTTCCATATGGAAAAGCACGCGTAAACATGCAATATCCACAGGGTTGTTACCTACTGTGGGCGTGGCGTGGGAACGTGCGATTTAAATAGCGCCAGGCCTCCACCCTGACCCTGCACCCTGGTGGCCTCGGAAACGGAAACGTCCTCCAGGCCGCCTCCCATCACCCTCCCTTAGCCCTGAGGACACTCAATCTAGCCTGGCGGTGCCCTTGCCCCGCCTCCCACAGGCCTGGAACAGGCAGCCCAGGCCGCACCCACACTGCGCCTGCGCACAGGCTGTTCCAGGGCACCTCGCAGACCTCGTCAAGCCCCGCGATAACTCATGTGTCTTAACGGCTCTGCGGACCTGGAACGTTCTCGAAAGCTATTTGAATTTTAAAAATTGAAATAGTCACAAGTGCGTATTTTAGTTTAGTATGCTATGTGCTTTTATTTTTTTGCTGCTTTAAGTGGTATATTTTCAAGTATTATCCTAATAAGCTTTTTCTTTTTTCAGTTAGAAAAGCTGCTCGGAGAAATCATTGCTTATCTTCACTTCAACTACACCGGGACTTACGACAGTGAACTTCTTGAACACATTTCCCCATTATTATGCATAATATTTCTGCACAAGAATAAGCAGATTCGAAAGCAGAGTGCTCAGTTCTGGAATGCTACGTTTGCTAAAGTGACGACGTTGATTTATCCCGAAGAGTTAAAGTATGCTAATCTTACTTAGTTATTCTCTTGATCTTGTAAATTCATTTTTTAGTTAAAAATTTTTTTTCTTGTAAGAAATTATTGCAGAGGATTTCTTAGTTGAGATGTTATGTGGAATACATGCTAATTATTAAACATTATTTGACCCTTTCTTTGGATTTCAGAGTAGTAACCTCTTGGTTTTAGGAAAAGAAAAAGTAATTTGAAATTGTCCTTAAAAGAAATACAAAGGTCAGGAAATTGATGGTTATTAAATCTGGCTGATGTGCACTTGGCTACATAAAATAATAATATAGTCTACCTTTGCTTGACATTTTCTGCAAGAAAAATTTGAAAAAATTTTTTATAAAGAAAATTTGGAAATGGAAGAATTTAGCATAAAAACATTAAATGTTGCCAGTAATTTCTCTCAGTTTTGTGTTTGTAGAGTATTGAAGTAGTCTTTAAGCTGGATTTATTTTGCCATTTTAAAATTATAATTAAAGTGTTCTTGTAGATTACTGATATTCACCAGTTCTACTTGACTCAAGGTATGCATATTTATGTACTTTTTTAAAAGACCTATACTAAGACAAGCCAAAGAAAAATTTCTGCTTCTATTGCCTGGTTTGGAAAATGTTGAAATTATGGAGGAATCCAGTGGACCATATTCGGATGCAGTGAGTGGTTTTTTGTGTGTGTTTTTTTGCTTTTGAATGATTAGTTTGTTTATTAGGTTTCAATATAATTTTTATTGAAGTGATGAGCAAGTACAACCTAAACAAAGATACTTGAAATACAGGATTTTTTTTTTCCATAAAGTCAGTTGTCTGGCTTGAGATACTTTTATGAATGTAGGGCAGTAAATTTCACCATAGATTCTTGTGTAAGTAATCTCTGTGCTTGTTCCCTAATCTCTTTTGAATTTCTTTACATCATGTGTGCTGTTTTGCAAAGGCTGTAAATTATTAAAACACATTTTTAAATGTTGCTATTTAGATAAACTAGGAGTAATAGTTATTTGTGCACATCTAAGCAAGAGTTACCCTTTACTTTTTCATTTCTTTCCATTGAATCATTCATTCCTTCTATCAGAAAAACACATCTTTGTTATTATATCACCCGATTGAACCAGTTACTTTGGCTAATGATACCTGATGACTGTCTGAAGATTAAGGAGTAAAGGCATGGATAATGTATACCCCATGAAGCGAACATTCTTAGACAACTTTTTTCTTCAATAACAATATAGTTTAGTTATTTTTTTGTTTAGAACCTATAAAAGACAAAAGGTCAAATACTCTTTAGTTTTGTTTTTTAGCTAAAATAATAGACTGTTGAGACTTTTTGATTGTAAGTTGGCTTGAAAACTTACATGGTTTGTTGGGAGGGGCATAATAGTTAATATTTTCTATCATACATGCTTATTTAATGTCTTAAAGTTTTATGGCTTTGGCTTTTCTTTTAGAACTATAGTAGTAGTAGGGGTATTTGATATATTTTTATAGTACTTTGTAGTATATCTTAATTTCAGAATTCATAAAATTAAGTGATGTAAAACAACTATTGAGTATATTGGAGATACAAAATCTATTTGCTGTTAACTGAAATAGTGACTTTTCATTGACATGATTTTACTAGAGTTGAATCAAAAGAAATTTAATGAGTATTCATTACACTGGAAATTTTAAAACATGAGGAGAAATATTGTACTTAATGATATTGTTTTATATGTCCTAAAACAGACAGAAAATTCCCAATTAAATATGAAGATAAGTGGCATGGAAAGAAAATCAAGTGGAAAAAGAGATTCTTTTTTGGCACAACCAAAGGTTACAAAAGAAAATATTAAGTCACCAGCCAAAGTATGTTCTTTCAATGTTTATTTCATAGAACTTTTACAGTATATGTAGGTTGAAAATATACAACTTCTAATTGGAAGAAAAAGCTGTTTTAAGACTAAAAGTAGGATTGCAGGAGAATGAGTTTGGTCTGGAAAGACTATATTAGAATGACATGGATATCTTGAAGCTTTAGTAGATGATTCCTTCTTAGTAAAGTTAGATGTACATAATACTTTGCATCCATTAAGTAGCAGTCTTTTTGAGATGGAATGAAACTAGATTTGAATAGTTGTGACAGCATAAGAGGAAAACATTGTAGAACTTATATTATTGAACAGAAACAAAATGCCTATGTAAGAAATCTATTTTAACCTCAAATCTAAAATTAAATATCTCTTTAGTTGCCATTTAACCAATTTATATTATTGGTATATAGGGCAAATTATTTTGGCAGCTGGAACTTGACTAATTAATACTTCACCAGGAGAGCTGTAGATACACTCTTCTCTTGAACAAATTGATTTATATGTGTTGAACTGAAAAAAACACTTCCCGTGCTTTGTTGGTAAACACACGCTTGCCTGCTTTTTAAAGAAATATAATTTTTATTTTCTGAGTAATAGAGGTACAATGAATCAAAGTGACATTTTACTAATTGTTACTAAGAAGAAATGTTATAGTTGTGTGGTTTTTGAACTTAAACCTTCCTATTCATTATCAAAAAGCTTAGTGTTAGAATAGAGATTTATTCAAGTATTAGAAAAATAATTTGGCAACTCAAATGTATATTTACTTCTTTAAAATCTATAGTTCAAACTAGAATCTTCATCACCCAAAATGAGTGGAATGCCTTTGGAAGAAGAAAAGTCTACTGAATTTGTGTTTATACCTCCAGAAGGAAAAGAAGCAAAGGAAAGAATACTAACTGAACATCAGAAAGAAGTACTCAAAACAAAGAGGTTTATAGTCCTTTTATTTTGAATTGAGTATTTTGTAGTCACACTTAGATTTTATGCACCAAACTATAGCTTTGTCTTTAGAACTAAGATACTGTGTATATTATAGTGTATTTTAATGCTGGAAAGATACACTAAGTAACTACATTTCATAATGTATACAGCTCCCTAGTAACGCCCCAAATGCTTGTTTATTGAGGTGTAGTGTGGGAGGGAAAGATAAAGAAGATGGTTTTGTGGAAAATAAGCATCTAAGCCTTGATTTTTTAAATTTTTATTCTTAAAAGAACTAGATATAGAATTGTAGTCTTTACTTTTCGATTGTAGGAATACCAAGATTGTGAACTTATAAAATATTTTTCAGGTGTGATATTCCTGCCATGTATAATAATCTGGATGTTTCACAAGATGCATTATTTTCTCAATATAGTCAGGAAGAGTCTATGTAAGTATGGAAGCTGCTGAAGTAACTTTTTTAAAGTTTTACTTAACTATTATACTCTAATTTATGTTTGTTTATTTCAGGGAAGTTCCTAGATTAGCTGAAAAATCGAAGGAAGATTCCAAGATGGCATTTAAGGTATACATATTTTGGGGGTTTTCAAATTACTCTTTCATTATGGAGTTTCTTCATTCATTTTAAGATGTGCTGTTTAGTTTGTTAATTTTCACTAGCAGATGCTAGCAGAATTATAGTCATTGTGGATGTAGAGGTGTTTAAAATGTATTTGGATTTATTGAATACTAGAAACTCAGTGTACAGATTCATGGGGTCCCTTGGCCTGGCCTGTGCCCTCTCACAATCCAGGACCCCTTGGAGGATGTCTGGTTCTCATTGCATGGATTTGGCTCAATCCTCCCGAGGCTAGGCTGAGAGACCCCACTGGTGCATGAATGTGTGCACCGGTCCTCTTGTATACATATAAGATCTTTGGTTAATCTCTTCCCACCCTCCCCCCTTACCCCCTTTCCTTCTTAGATTCATCAGTCTGTTCCATGTTTCCATGCCAGTGCACTGAGCTTCTGCCCCCTGGTGGTCAGTGTGTGTCACAACTACCCGTCGAAACGTTGAACAGTCAGACACTTAGCATATTAGCCTTTTATATATCTAGATTTATCATTAGAAACAAGTTAGCGGGCATATACCACCACCTTTGTAATAATTACAAAATATCAAAAGTCAGTGATTGCCTTTGAATTAATTACTAAGGCATTACACTAAAATTTCCCCAGAAAGTCAGACTTGTATGCTGGTTAATCTATATATATGTACATTTCTGTGCAGGAGGAACTAACGAAGAGTGACATTACACAAGATGTTACGGGAAAGTGTGGTATGGAAGAACATCTTGAAAAGACTTCTCTTTCAAATAATGAATGTAGTTCTATTGAGGAAAGCCATCTTGGAATACTGAGCAGTAATAATAATAATAATGCCCCAAAAAACCCTTTAATTTCATCAAAGAAAATTTCAAATGAATGTGCATCTAGTGCAGAAAACACTTTTGGTGTTAGCAGTAGCACAGTTTCTAATATCACCAATTCTGGAACACCCACACAGCCTACAAGTCGAAGGCAAACCTTTATTACTTTGGAGAAGTTTGATGGTTCAGAAAATAGACCTTTTAGTCCATCCCCCTTGAACAATATGTCATCAGCTATTACAGTGAAAAATAGTCAGGAAGGCATGGCTAAAACAGGTATTCCACCAAAAGCAAAGAGAAAAGAAGTGGCTCTTTCAAAATCTGACTCTGAAAAAATAGTGCATGGAAATAAGCGGTCAGGCCTAAGGTCAAGTAAAGCTGATCAAACAGGGAATAAAAGTTCTAAGCTCTTAATGACATCTGATCAGAAGAAAAATACTCAGGAATCTATTGATAGCATGGTAGCCTTAGAAAATAACCAAGCTGGTTTGCTTAATCAAACAGAATGTGTGTTAGATAATCGGGCTCATCTCTCTGAATCTGCAGTGGAACGAGAGGATACAATGCTTAAACCAACAACAGAAAATGCTTTAGTAGAGAACAGTACTGCAGAGGAGAAAACCTTAGTAACAAATTTGGAATCCAAAGAAAATACACCTCCGGCCATAGTACCAGCAGATCAAATGGTAAATGAGGATAGTCATGTTCAGATTGCTCCAAATCAGAAAACCCTTAGACGTTCTTTAAGGCGACGTTCAGAAATAACAGAGCCTATCACTGATAGCCAAGATAAAGAAAATAATCTTCAAAAAAAGGAAAGACATAAGGAAGAAGAAAAGACTCTTCAGAAAAGTCAGTTACATGTAAAAGATGATATGCTACCTAAGCAGAAACTGATTTCTGAACAGACTGTACAGGAAAATTTAATTGAGAAAGATATTTCACATGAGAAGACTTTAGGGGAAACCAGCACTAATACTGTAATTGAAAAAAATAGAAGAAAGTCAGACCTTGAGAATAGTAAATCTGAGGGAGATGCTAGCCAGGACATTGCAGATAAGTCCTCCGAGAAGCAAGTAAGGGGACGGACACGGTATCAAACAAGGAGAGCATCCCAGTGTTTGCTTTCCAACATTGAAAACTCTGAATCTGATAATTCTGAGGCAAAGGAGGAAAGTTCTAGAAAGAAGAGATCTGGAAAATGGAAAAACAAAAACAGTGACAGTGTTGACATTGAAGATCAAGAAGAGAAAATGGAAAAACAGGAATGTCTGCAAGTTGAAAGTCAGATATATGATCATAAAGCAAATTCAGAAATGGACATAAACATGAAATCTCAGATTTGTGAAAACAAAGGTGAAAATACTGTAGCTCTCCAAAATTCTACAGTATCTTCAGATTTTGGGCTAGTTTGTGATATATCAAATACTTATGAAGAAAAAAGTAAAACTAATAAATGTGCAGATGATTCCTTTTCAAATTCTTCTGTATCAGAATTAAATCTAAGGACTAGAAATGCCAATAAGAGGTTACATAAGCGAGATTCCATAGAAAATAACAATGTGGAAGAAGGGTCAAAAATAGGGACATCAGACATTTCTTTGCCTTCTGAAAAAACATTTCAAACACCTGAATGCCGACACAAGAGAAGTAGGAGAGTAAGGAGATCTAAGGGTTGTGATTGCTGTGGAGAAAAGTCACAATCTCAAGAAAAGTCACCCCTTGGGTTGACAAATACAGAAAATTACAATGTCAAGGTCAGTGAAACAAAAGAGATAGATGTGCCAGCTCCTGTAACTATATCAGAGACTACTACAGCTAATAATAACCCTGAGGCTAAACTTCCAGATGAGTGTCATAATGTGAATTTTCACTTGGGTCTCAAGGAGGAGAACGATTCTATTGATTCATTAATTGTACCTGAAACTGAGTTGAAAGAAAGGGATATTCAAGACTCTCTTCCTTCTGAAATAGTAAATTTTAAAGAAGAAATGTGTGATACAGATTTTACGGAAGCAATTTCGATTGAAAGCCAAGAGTCATCCAATAAAAAATGTAAGACTGTTGGCCCATGTTTAGGTGATTCCAAAGATATTTCACTGGAATGTTCTAGTTTGGAGACCAAAGAAGAAAAGCCAGAGGCTATACTAAAAATGGAAATAAGTACAGAGAACATGGTTAATGTTGAAGCAGATGCATACAAAGTAAAAGCAGAATTCAGTCTAGAAGTAGAAGCTATGGAATTGGATGTAGAGTGTGATAAATCTGAAGCAAGCTTCTCTGAACAAAAGAGTGCCAAAACTGATATTTTTGAGGAAGAGGCAACGGAGAAAAACAGTACAAGAAGTGATGAATCTGAAGCAGATGCAGCTAAAGTACTGATTGCTGAAGAAGCAGTAACTGAGGAATTTAATTCAGCTATTGGTCATCCTGATAATACCACACCTGTAGAAGTAAGACCTCAGTTAGAAATTTCTGAACAAACAGTAGTTGGTGGACTAGATGGAGGGAATGATGAATCTGTTCCAGGCTCATCTGAAGAAATGAATGCTGAAATGGAAAATTATGAAGAAAGGGTAATTGGTGAAGTGAAGGCTGAAACCGACCATGTCAGTGAAACAGAGGATGAGGACTTGATTACCAAAGCATCAAGGTCCATAGAAGCTGAAACAAACAGATTGAATATAGAAATTGGCAACATTTCCCCTAACACACTTAAGGTGAACACTGAAGAAGGAAACGTTAACTCTAATAAAACAGAAACAAGCATTGTACTTAATAAACCAGAAGAAGTAAAATTAGATGACAATCAAATGAAAATGGAAAGTGATACTGAAACTTTACAGGAAGCTCACCATACTTCAGAGAAAGTGAAGGAAACATCACAGTCTCTGATGTCTGAAAGAGAGACCTCTGAACTGATAACAGAAGACAATAATACATCTCCTCAAAAATTAAGTGAATTTGATCCTTTACTTCTGTCAGCTATTGAGAGTCCTAGTGGCATGCAAGCTCGCTGTATCTGGTCTCCTTTGGCTTCTCCATCCAGTAGCATTTTAAAAAGAGGATTAAAAAGACCTCAAGAAGATGAGATCTCACCACCTGTTCACAAGGTAGGGGTTTGAGGCTGAATTTTGGTTCATGTTTAAATGGAATATTTTTGCATTAATTTTTTCAAATTAGTGTTTTGTTGTCTTCAAATACTCGGGTGGAATTGCTGGGTATATGGAAACTTTTTAATTTTTTGAGTACTCCACATTGATCCCCATATTGGCTGCACCAATTTATGATCCTACCAACAGCTTTATGAGAGTTCCTCCTTCTCCACATACCCCATCACCAACAACACTACCATTGACAAATTCATTTGTCAATTTTTTTGTGGTGGTCATTTTGACCTGTGTGAGGTGGTATGTTCCCGTGGTTTTGATTTGCATTTCCCTGGTAATCAGTAATGTTGAGTATCTTACGTGTCTGTTGGCCTCTGGAGACATGTCTATTCAGGTCCTCTACCTATTTTTAATAGATTATTGGTGGGGGGTTTTTGTGTTAAATGGTATGAGTTCCTTTCCATATTTTGTGTATAGATCCCTTATCAGAAGGCTCATTTGTGAATAACTTCTCCCGTTTAGTAGGTCTTTTCATTTTGCTAGTGTTTTCTTTCTTGGTGTAGAAATTTTTCAGTTTAAGTAGTCATATTTGATTAGTTTTGCTATTGTTGCTCTTTCCAAAGAGCTATAACCCAAAAGATTATGCCAAGACTGATGCCACAGAGTTTATCATCACATGGTTTCTTCTAGGAGTTTTTGGTCTCAGGTCTTACATTTAAGTCTTTAATCCATTTCTTAAAAAAATACATATTTTTTTAATTGATTTCAGAGAGGAAGGGGGGAGAGAAATAGAAACATCAATGATGAGAGAGAACCACTGAATGGCTGCCTCCTGCACGCCCCCTACTGGGGATTGAACTCACAACCCTGGACTTGGGCCCTGTCCAGGAATCTAATTCAGTCCATAGGCCAGCACTCTATCCACTCAGCCAAACTGGCTACAGCTCAATCCATTTTGAGTTTATTTTTGTAAGTGGTGTAATAAAGTGTTCCAATTCCATTTTTTTCCCCCTTGTACCTGTCCAGTTTTCCCAGCACCACTTACTGAAAAAACTGTCTTTACCTCCATTATATATTCTTACTTCCTTTGGCATTAATTGATCATATAAGCAAGGATTTGATTTTTGGTTCTCCAGTATGCTTTACATTGTTAATACAAATTTGTTTTGTTTGATAGTATCTCATATTTCAGTTTTATTTAGGCAACAGCGTAGTGTAGCTTTTTTATAACCAATATATACAGAATCTTCCCACTTTTTGAGTTAAAACTAAGGGACATTTATATACATATTTTAAAATGTAAGTGCTCTGTTGTGTATTTATGTTAGATAACTGATTGAGTGAACATATTTTAAGTTTTGAAGAGACTTCCAACTAGAGCTAAGAAACAAAAATTGCTACCCAATTGCTGTGAATCTGGTATCCTCAAAGTTTAGAACAGAATCAATCTATAATAAGTAAGAAATACCAGAAGCTAGTTGGTACTATGTCTAACTCTTTAACTTGTTCTTTACAGTCATTGTAGTTACAGTTAAACCCATAAAGTTAGTAGTATTGGATTATGCCATTTCTATTGCCACATGCACTTTTATTAAGTTTCTGCTACTGTGTCTGTTTCAGTCTTTGTTGCTATAGAACGTAGATCATTGGAATGACCTGTGCTATTTGTGAAAGCAAGTCATTAGGAAAAAACTACACTTTTTACATTCTCTTGGTTTCTAGTGAAATAATTTAAGCTTCTAAACCCACACTCTTATTTTTGGGTAACCTTATAATGAGAATTTATGGTGTTATTTTTTAAAAACTTTAATTTTGTTAAATAAAAACATGACCTGTGTTTTTAGGTTCGCCGAGTCTCCTTTGCAGATCCAATATATCAAGCAGGATTGGCAGATGACATTGATAGGCGATGTTCTCTTGTTAGAGCCCATTCTTCAACTAGTTCTCCCATGGTAAAAAGTGTTAAAACTTCACCTACTGCACAATCTAAGGTAAGCTGGAGGGTTTAAAATAAATGTATGTATGCAGACAGAATTGCATTGTGTGGTTTGTCTTAAAATTAAATAACTAAGGACAAAACTTGTTTGGCTTGGATATATTCTTTTTCTACCACTTGGTAAACAGACATGAACAGGTTATAAAAGGCAAAGATGATCCAGCAAGTAACTGATTATGTGGTTTATTACATTTTAGATTTTCTGAAAGTATTAAGAAATTAATATATTCTAAATTGTTAAAATAGAGTTGTAAATTTATAGTTATCTAGGGTTCTGAGGTGTTTTTTTTCTCTCCTTCTGTCTAGCATAATACCACTTCAAGCAAAGGATTTCTGTTTCCAGGATCACGTAGCCCTAAATTTAAGAGCTCAAAGAAATGTTTAGTAAGAAGTGTTTTAGTTTTCATGCAACTTTTTTTTTTTTTCATGTTTAGTGAGGTGATGTCTATTTAACAGTTTTTGAAATTTATTCTAAGATTGCAGAAATGGCTAAAGAATCCATACCATGCCCAACAGAAAGTGTTTACCCAGCTTTGGTAAACTGTATGGCACCAGTTGATATTATTTTACCCCAGATTACTTCAAATATTTGGTAAGTAATTATTTAGGTTTCTGGCTTCTTCTTAAAGTTGCCCCTTTAAAATGATCAAAGTCCTCATATTTAGAATTGCTTTTATATGCACCTTTATATATATTTTAGAAATAAAAATTCAGCTGGGAAGATGGGTCAGAAAGGACAATAAGAGAAGCATTTATCACAGTGGCTAAGATAATTGTGTGCTTATTTTCTAGGTGCCATGCTGAACTCTATATACATTGTTATTTAATCATAAATCCTATATGAGCAGTAGTGTTATTTCTACTTTATAAAATAAGCTTTACAAAGGTTAATCCATCAAAGTCAGTCATTATGTTAGAAAAGCATGAAGTACACATTAGGCTTACCTGTATTTTCCGGCGTATAAGACAATCACATGTACACTGTGTTCTAGTAAAAAGCCTGCTCAGATTGGCCAGAGTCAGAGAGGCGGTCTATTAAAAAAAGAACTGGTGTTGCCTCGGAAGTGGGGGGTAGTCTACAGCGAATATAGGCCTAAACTTATGTTTTAACTGTAAAATTAGGGTGTCGTCTTATACACCAGAAAATACGGTAGTCTGATTTCAATACTATTGCTTATACCAGGCATACATATCCAATTAAAATTTTATATTTTAAACTAGAGACCTGATGCACGAAATTCATGCAGAAGTAGGCCTTCCTTTCCCCAGCTGCCAGCACTGGCTTCCCTCTAGCACCCAAGGCTACCCTCGCAGCCTTGGCTTCATCTGGAAGGATATCTGGTCTAATTAGCATTTTACTTTTTTAAAAATTATAGATTTATATGTTCAGTGTCTGCCTTCACAGAAGGTTAGGTGGGCATATATAAATTCAGTATGGTTGAACTTAGGAAATTCACCTGGATAGACTCACAAATAGAGTAAATATAAAACTGTATAATAATGTTCTACCTTTTTTTTTTTTTTTTAATTGTCTGTTCAGGGCAAGAGGACTGGGACAACTCATTAGAGCCAAGAATATAAGAACAATTGGTGATTTGAGTACTCTTACAGCATCTGAAATTAAAACTCTTCCTATCCGTTCTCCAAAAGTGTCCAATGTAAAAAAGGCTCTCAGAGTATATCATGAGCAACAGGTAAAAAACTTAGATGTCAGTTATAAAGCACATATAAACATAACTCTGTGTCATATACCAATCTTTTGGTCAAAAACAGACTGCATATACAGCAGTGGTTTGACAAGATAATAGTGGAACTAAAAATTCCTACTGATGTCATAGTGTAAATGCATTACTCGTGTTTAATAATGCTGGTGTGAATAAATGCACTGCACTACCAGTCATAAAAATGTAACGTGATTATGTGTATAGCACATAATACTTAATAATATGAATGACTGTGTTGCTGGTTTACATATTTACTAAACTTTATTGTTATTTAGAATGTACTCTTTCTACTTAGGTAAAAAAAGGTTTGCTGAGAAAGTTTGCCATGTTACCCCAGTAGCAGCCTCCTAACTACATTTACTGCATCTCTTGATTGCATCATTTTACTTGATTTACTCTCATTTTTCTGTGCAGTAACGTGCTGTAGTCTAGAAGCAGTAGAATGTACCATATAACCATTTATGTTTGTGAGTACATTATGATATTCTCACAATGACAAAATTTGCCTAATGCATTTCTCAGATTATATCCCTGTCATTAAGTAGTGCATAACTATAAATGATTTAATACAGTTACACAATTTGTGCTTACACTGTACACGCATTTCACGCATTCCCTCAGGAGTAACTTAAAAGATCACATTATAATTCCACTGAGGAGTTTTTCTCATTTATTTTGAACTGTTCTTATGCAATGTACCTCTCAATTCTTTGAATTCTGTTCTCCTAACACCTCTCTTTCATTTTTACAAAACTGGCTATTGAATTACATGGCTGTGATTCTTAAAACTCAGATGTTAAAATATAAATGTTTATAAAAATCTTGCAGGTTTTTAGTTTAACAGTATTTTGATTTTGATACCCAACCTTTTTATACATAAACATTGTGGGTCATGGATATTTTCAGAGTTTCTGATGAAGACCAATATTCTTCCTCCTATAAAATATATGGAAAATTTTATGTTATTTCAGAAAGGTTCATAGATTTCTAAAACCCATTCAGATCCATTGACACTCAGAATTCTGAGTGAATGGAAAATAGGGTCTGTTAAAAGTGAAAATCAGCATTCTAGATTTGAATCTTTGAGACTAGAGTTTGCTAACTACTTGAAAGTCCTATAATTAGCATTAATTTGTTTTGTGATTTTTAAACACATTTGTTAGTTTTTAAAAATCCAAATACTTTATTAGTAATTTTTAGTCTTATAGATAAAAAATTTAGTTTCTTAAGTATTTTCTGTGGTCCATGGGCCATGAGAATTGTCTCTGAAACATATAATTTTTAAAAAACTGCTTTATTGAGATATCCACGAACCATAAAATTCACTGCTACACACACTTTAGTGATTTGTGTGTGTGCTTTTTTAGTATATTTACAAACTTATACATCGCAACTGCAGTCTTAATTTTAGAACATTTTTATCACTCCAGAAAAAAAACAAAAAACTTAGATATTAGCAGTCACTCTTCATGCACAACTCCATGACAACTGGGAAGATGGGTCAGAATCTTTTTTTCTCCTCAATAGATTTGTCTATTATAGACATTTCATAAAAGTGGGGTCATATAAACCTGTGGTCTTTTGTGACTGACTTAACACTGTGTTTTCAAAGCTTATTTGTAGTTCTTTTTGGTGTGTTATTAGAACATAGTTTCTTAGCAATACTGGCTAAGCTAGTAATAACGTGATGGGCTGTCAGAATCTGTTAGTCCTATTAAGAGTAAATTTCCATTTGTTGGTTTTGTTTTTACTGATCTAAATGTTTAATCAAGGTGAAGTCTCGTGGACTAGAAGAAATTCCAGTTTTTGATATTTCTGAAAAAACAATAAATGGAACAGAAAAACCTCTGTCTGCTGATGAAGAAGGACTTGCCTCAGGTATATTTTAGCAAAGTAGGACAACTTTTTGTTTTGTTTTGTTTTTGTGGTTTTTTTAAAAATATATTTTATTGATTTTTTTTTTTTTTTTTTTTTTACAGAGAGGAAGGGAGAAGGGATAGAGAGCTAGAAATATCTATGAGAGAGAAACATCAACCAGCTGCCTCCTGCACATCCCCCACTGGGGATTGTGCCCGCAACTAATGTACATGCCCTTGACCAGAATCAAACCTGGGTCCCCCCCAGTCTGCAGACTGATGCTCTGTCCACTGAGCCAAACTGGTTTTGGCAGGACAACTTTATAGATCAGTTGCCTTTCTGTAATTGTCTACTCCAATAAGGGTATGAACTAAACATTGTGTTCTTGCCATACTTTTAATGAAAACGAAGTAAGTGTAGAGATTAATGGCAAAGAATAAGCTATGTTAGATTTTCCTGTTGCCTGTTCTCTTGAGCATGGTTACATACCTCAGCCTGCATTTTCAATATTCAAACCTCGGCACTTAGACTTTATATTAACTTGAGAGGCAATATATACAACTTATGTTTTACCTGAAATACATCTAATTGTTCTTTTTTCCTCTTTTTTTTTTTAGATTTAGTTGATCCTATTGCTTTAGAAACTCCATTATCTAAAAATCTTGTGGCACAGATCAGTGCCCTTGCTCTTCAGCTGGATTCAGAGGATCTCCATAATTATTCAGGAAGCCAACTATTTGAAATGCACGAGAAACTTGGTAGCATGGCAAACTCTATAATGAAAAATCTGCAGTCACGTTGGAGATCACCAACTCATGATAATTCTGTTTAGTATTTTAAGACAAAGTTGAAACTTTTAAAATTTCCTCTGAGTTTGTTATTCCATAAAATAAGTTCTGAAATATGGCACAATTTCACACTGAATGTTTTCAAAATTGGTAACATTTCAGAACCTGAAGGGCAATGACTTATGTAAGTTCAGTTTTGTAAGTTCATTATGTAAGATGATTTTTTTGATACTATGTATTTTGGCTGCTATGCATAATTTTTTCAAAATTTTAAATTGAAATGTGAAAGCAAAAACTAGCAACAAGCAGACATTTATTTCACTTAAACTCATGCATATTCTGATTAAACATTTTATGAAAAATATCTTATTTGAAGTAAAATTGAAATTTCTTACTTGGATTTTTTGCTGAACTGATACTTGATTTTTTAAAAAATTGATATTTGTTGTGCTAAGGTTTAAGAAATTTGGTCTTGGTAAAAATATACTATATGTGGGATGTAAAAGAATTAGAATGTTTTTCACTGATTTTAACTATGGATAACTTTTAAGAAAATCCAAAAGTTTCAGGTTTTGGGTTAAAGCAGACTTCACTAAAATGCACACCATTCATTTATTTGCATTAGCAAATATTTGTACAACAGCATCTGCCTGTGAAAATTTACTCTTTGGGGATATAGTATTCATTTAAAAATGCATGACTACTTGTACATTATGTATAGATTACAATGTTTTTAATTTATAAATTTCAGCTTTCGTTAATTGCGTGTTTTTCTGAAGCTTCTTGTGAATACTTTTGTGTAATAGAAAATATTTTGTATATATTAAATACTGAGATACCAGTATGGACAATAGAAGTGCTTTGTGGACTTGCTGCAGATGTTTGTAGGATTCTGTATTTACAAATGAAACAGCAAATAGTTTTGTACTTAGCAAATAGTGTCAGTTAAAACATAAGTTTATTTTCTTAAGTAACCAAAATGAGTAGTCAATAGAAATGAGAAAGTGTTACATGACAGTTTTTACTATTCATATCTATACTTTCTTTTGTCTTTTGGAAGAGGGTATCAGCCACTAGAAAGCATGCCTCATTACATTTCTTTTTAATAGAGTTAGAGTATTTTCATTACAACTTGGACTAGAAGAAATTTAGTTTATCTGTTCTTTTCACCTGTACCTAAAGCAAACTTGGAAGAAATTTTAAACTATTTTTTTTAAATATGTGTGCTTTGCCTACTTTTAAAAATTAGGGTGTTAAATAGTTAAAACATTTGTGAATTGTGTTGACTCATATTAGTGCCTGGCTTTCTCCCTCCCTCCCTCCCTCCCTCCTCCCTCCTCTCTCTCTCTCTCTCTCTCTCTCTCTCTCTCTCTCTCTCTCTCTCTCTCTTTTGTAATGAGAATATCTCATTTGTTCTCTGAATAGAGTGTGTGAGCCATCTCAGTTTCTCGCTTTATTCAGAACTAGCCCCTACTTGAAAAGGCACATATTTTTCAAATTGTTGGAAGTTTAATGTTTGTTTCTAATTTGCTTCTATATTCAGAAGGGGGCCACCAGTCAACCACAAAAAAAATTAGTGTATTTTGTAATTGTAAATCCACATTCATTACAAATATTTTGGGGTCTAAGTTTGAAATTTTAATACCAAGGATGGTTTTAAAAGAAATTCTGGGGGCATTGAATTGAGGATTGTAGCTTGAAGAAATAACATGAAATATAAGAATATTTTTATATTGTCTATCATTTCCCAAATAACATTTGACAGTAAAGAGGCATATGTGTTTCTAGTGGACAGTTGTGTATGTGTATTTCAAATGAGTCAAAATTACCTCATTTCCTGACTACATATTTTAATGTTTGTGTGAACTAAAAACTTGATGGTGGAATGAAATTCTTGGAAAAGTGAACAGTATAGCAGAAAATGGGACCAAAATGATTACCATTCACTTAAGTCACTGAATTTGTTACTAGCGTATGTATTTATAACATTTGTGATTCAACAAGGATATGTTTTAAAATATTTGAGGGCAAAGATTAATTTGCTAAGTCATCAATCATTGTTGATGTAGTTATAAGTTTATCTCTGAGGAACCTTACTTACAATATTCTTGCCTTAAATTTTTCTGCAAATTTTCCCAAGTAGAAAAATGCATTAATGTTCTTAATTAACTCCATTGTGTTGCTCATTATTAAAGTTAACGCAGCTTTTTCAAATATTTTCTAATGGTTAATAAAACATGATAGTAATACTCAAATGTAATTTATGTTGCATTTACTAAAAGGACCCAGGTGCATTCAGAAGCATAGCAAGATTTTTTATGTTCCAAAATGGATTTCATAATGGATTTAAATTTTCAATATTTGAGCGAGCCCATTAAGGGTGCTCTGTTGTTTAAACAAGTTTGGAAGCCATTGTTGAATGGCTTTTTTGCTTTTAATTCCATATACAGAGCCTGGCATATAATAGATATATTATTTCGGCCAATAATGTAAAGAATGTGTCAAGTTTAGTGATAATGCTAGTTGATAGTGTAAAAAAAAAAAAGATCTAAATCTGAACAATAAGAGCATGGTAGTTCTTCTTATGTTTAAGAGTCATATGACTGCAAAGCAAGTGAGACTATATATTGCCTAAAATAAATGTGGCAGGGCAAGAAATGAAGTTGTTAGGGGCAAATGGGATGTATGTGTAAAGTAAACAAATAGAATTTTTTAAAAAAATGGTAACAGAATGAAAAAATTTAAGAACTGTTTAAAACACTGTCTTAGTTGAACTTGAACAGGAGTTAAGAGGGCTGGTCATGTTTCCCCTTACTGCCATGTCTTCCAACTTTGGCTTGATTATCCAGTAATTATTTATTAATTTATAGGGAGATCAGTTGTTAACATTATTAGATTAAGACTTGAGTGAGTAGGGGAAAAATGGTTAACTCATCATTACAACCCATGTCCAATTTATTCTCAACTCTTTAGAAAGATCTTGTACTTTGTATACAAACAATAGAAGTTTTGACTTAACAATGTTTCTCAAATTTGCATGTACGTGTGAAAATGCAGATTCTGTCAGTACATCTGTAGTGGGGCACAATCCTTCATTTCTCAAAAACTTCCACATGACATACTAAATAGTGATGTCTGTGGATTGCACTTGTCCTAGCTAGGCTGAAGAGGCTTTCAGCTGTGAGTGAGTTTTAAATAGCTCAAAATGATTTAAATCTTTTTAGTTATTGTCACAAAAAATACAAGCTAGTCTTTTTTAAAAAGTAACTTTCAAATTTATGAATTGGAGATGAGATAGAATGCTTCAAATTAAAGTTCAAATGGCAAAGAAAGTTTAAGGTAGGGTTTTTCCACATTTGGAGCCTTGTTAGTGTGGAAGATTTATATTTTTTAAATAGGCAGATAAAAATCTTATTAAGCAGTTTGGACAATGAGTCTTGGGTTATGTTCTGATTTTTAAAAATTGTTAAATTTTAAAATATGAGAGGTGGCATTTAGTTTCTAAATGAATCTTGTAAGTTACAGGACTTCATTATTTTATTTATAAACATTGAAAATAGACCACCCCAAAGATTAAATGGCAGTGAGGTTAGCAGTGTCACAGCTCTGTCTTAACATTGTACTGAAGACTTCCGGTGTCTTTGTTGTTAAGGTACAGGGTTGAAAATTGCAAAATAGAGCTTGAAAGACAGAATTGAATAATTGTGTTCTCTAAACATGAGTGTTTCTTGGTATTCTGTTAAGACACTGTATTTCTCTCACATATTTAAGTACTCTTTTTTTTTCTTTTTCTTTTTTTTTTTTTGTAAGAGCTACCCTCATCCAAAGCATTTAAGAAAAAGTAGCCAGAAGTTAAGTGCTTACTAAATTGTTTTATCAAAATTTATTGACCACTTGATCTATGAAACAAATCTGGGCTTTGTGGCTTGTAATGGCCCAACTAATATATCTATTATATGCCAGGCTTTGTATATTGCTTTTGAAAGTGTACGTTAATATCTGAGTCATTTGGATTTGAAGATGTATAGATATTTAATGGAACAGTAGTCTTAACAGAATTGAATATGAAGTTCTCTGGAATATACTGCTAAATTTCACAGTGTGGTCTTACCGTTTTTTCTTTACATGACAAACCCTTCACCAAAGAACAATTAAAACTGAACATGAATTGCCAAGCGATATAAATGCTTACTCCCCTGAAATATACTATTAGAATGGAAGATATATATCTTTTTTCCTTTAAACCTGAGAGTATAAGTTTGAAGGCAGTATTTTAAATGAAGGTCACAGAGAAGAAAAATAAACTAACTTTAGGCCACAGTGTACTGATTTGTAATTGTGGGTAAAACTGTGCTTATTAAACAGCAGGTTTACATGTTGATAGAGATTGATGCACAAGTGGTAAAATTTTCAACAAGAGGCAATATTATTTTTTAAATAGATAAAATGCATGTAACTAGAAAGTTGACCTTCAAAATAGTGCCATGGAATTGAAAATGAATATAGTGTAACAGTTATTTTCATAGTTAATTGAATAACAATACAAGAAATCTTATTTTTATAGAATGGGAACTTTGTAATAGAAAAATGGAATTAACACAGAATCAGTTTTGAATATAAGAACAAAGATGACAGTCTTAACTAGTATGTTTTTATAGATTAGGGGATGATAAACTACAGTTGGACACCTGTTTTTGTATAGATCCTATGAGCTAAGAATGGCTTTTACATTTTCTAAAAGGTTGAAAATAATATTTTGACATTTGAAAATATATGAATTTAATATTCAGTGTCTATAAGACATGACATTAATGAGATTTTATTGGGATACGGCTATGTTTTTACATATTATCTTTGGTGGCCTTCCTGCTACAGCAGCAGAGTTGAGTGGTCTGACAGACTGATCTGTATTAGCACTAACTGCCTGGCCTTGATGTAGAGTGTACCGATTCATGTTACAAAGGATAGTGTTTTTTGTTCACACATGGCATGTAGTCATTTTGGTTATTTGCTTCTAGCTGGTGGGAAGAGGATATACCATCCTTAACTTCTTAATCCTGTTGCTGTTATTTAGGTTTTACTTTATAAAATGGGTTCCCCTATTCCATTTATGTTTTCTTACCATTGTGCAAGTACACATATTCTATCTAGAAGATACTAGTACTTTTAAGGAACATTTTGTTTTTTCTCTTCCTTAATCTTAAAATATAGTTAATATGTTTGCCATGGATATTAAGGAACCATGAAGTATCAGAGGACGGCATCTGGCACTAATTGGTTGTCACAGTTTGCTTTCATTGCTTTCAAACTACCTCCTGTGGATAGACTTGACTAATACAGACATTTATTAGCCTTAGAAAAGACATGACATTTATTAGCCTTATAATATTTTTGCTCTGATGACTCGCTAAACTTTCTAAGAGAACTTAGTTTTGCATTCAAAAAGTATATTTGTTAAGTTAAATGACTTAAGTTGAACATAGAAGGACCTATTCATTCCTCAGTTAACTGCATTAGTAGATTAGAAATAAGGGTGCAATTAGTTTTATCTGTGTAATGCTTTATACAATGTTTGCAGCAGTGGACCTATACTAATAGTATATTTTCAGGTTCAAGACTGGATTGAGGGAGGGAAAAACCTTATGATTCACAGTAAAACTTTTCATGACCTACTGAGTTGTTATCACTTGCCAATTGAAACTGGACATTGAAATATTTTAAAGAAATGCACTTTAATATTAAATAAAAGTATGAAAATTAA